AGATGGGATAGGATATGTTCTTTCCTTCAGTAACCAGCACTGCCTCTCCAGTGAAGACTGACGCTATAGAAAAGATTTATAAGTTAAGAGATTTTAAGAAGTAGGCCTTTGTTTTTTGAGACAGAGTCTCGCTTTGTTGCCCAGGCTAGAGTGAGTGCCATGGCATCAGCCTAGCTCACAGCAACCTCAAACTCCTGGGCTCAAGCGATACTACTGCCTCAGCCTCCCGAGTAGCTGGGACTACAGGCATGTGCCACCATGCCCAGCTAATTTTTTGTATATATATTAGTTGGCCAATTAATTTCTTTCTATTTACAGTAGAGACGGGGTCTCACTCTTGCTCAGGCTGGTTTCCAACTGCTGACCTTGAGCGATCCGCCTGCCTCGGCCTCCCAGAGTGCTAGGATTACAGGCGTGAGCCACTGCCCCCGGCCAAGAAGTAGTCCTTGACTGTCCATAATGTATAATATTCCAATATTGATTGGAAGATTTTTGTTCATGGGCAGCTATTAACTAGTGGACTTCACTTGGGGTGAGCAGAGAGAATTAGTCATTTTATTGGAAAACTTCCAGGTTTCAATATCTCTGGGATTTTTTCCATTGGGTTGCTTCGTTGTTCCATGCAGGAATCTTCTTTCCCAGGAAGAGTATATTTGTCTGCCAGGATTCTAGGAGCCAAGTGAAAAAGGCATTGGAATGAGGAGAGTACTTACTGTTTAGTATTAGGACTTTCACTTACTTCCTCATTTCTCTCTCTGCTGTCATCTGCTCTTCCAGTCTCTGTTTCATTTCTTCTCTAATTCATTTCAATGAAATCAGATAGCATGTACCCTTTTGTGTCTTCTTTTATTCATTAAACTTTTCTTTAAGATTCATCTCTGTTGTTTTGTGTATCAGTCCATTTCTTTTCATTGCTGAGTAATTCTATTAAATGTATATACTGCTAAATGACATTTGAGTTGTTTCCAGTTTGGGCTATTGTGAATGAAATTCGATAAACATTCTTGAACGAATATTTTAGTGGATATTTATTTTTTATTTTTCTTGGGAAAATAGCAAGGAATACAATTTATTGGTAATAGAGTAAGAAAAGTCTGATTGCTCCACATTCTGACCAATATTAGTTATTGTCAGACTTTTTGATTTTAGCTATTCTTGAGGGTTTGAAGTGGTATTGCATTATGATTTTAATTTGCATTTCCCTGATGATTAATAGTGGTTAGAATCTTTTCATGTACTATTGACCATTCATTTATCTTCTTGTTTGAAATATCTGTTCAAGCTTCATACCCATTTTAATTGCATAGTTTTTCTCTTTGTTATTGATTCATATTATTGATTTATAGGAATTCTTTATGAAATGACCCCTTTATTATAATGAAATGTCCCTTTTTATTTGGGGCTGTACTCCTTATCATGGAGTCTAATTTGTCTGATATTATTATAGCCACTCCTGGTTTCTTATACTTGCCATATACTTGATGTATCGTCTTTCATATGTTTAATTTCAATTTATCTGTGTATTTGTATTTAAAGTTCATCTCTTGAGCCCAGAGGCAATGAGCACCTTGAAGTCAGATCTTGGTATCTAAATACCATTCTCCAGTAAAATTTATCGGGGTTCTTTGGAGAAATGACTGATTGTAGGGCAGGGATAAGGAAAATATAAGCTGAACTTGGAACATCTTGTGGTACCAGAAAGTAAAGAAGGGCTCAAAAAATAAGACATATCAAAAATATACGAGGAATAACTAGAAGTGACTCCCAATGACTAGACCTGGGACAATTTAAATAACAAAGTAAATGACAGGAATGGATTATATCTCGTAAGATAAAATAAATTTCAATGTATCTGTGCTAATATAAATAAGTATTTGACTATGTAAATGGGGGGAAGGGGAAAGTTCTTTATTTCAGCAGAACTGCAATTAATATAAAAGGAATGATGGAAATGGCAGAAATAGAAAGTCACCATTTGGCAAGCACCACAGTAATAATTGTTGCAGGCGAGAATCAATGAATGCTAAAGTTTATGGGCAAAAGTATGATAAGAAATGGGGTATTTACACAGCCTTGAAGTATTTTCCCACCAAATACTATTAATTACAAGGAGGAAGATATTAAGAAGAGAAACCTGGTAAACAGCACCTTAAGCAGATGGTCATAGTTAATATCAGTAATGGGACAAATTGGCATCATGTACCTCCTGCTTTGATGCACTGAGGGCACAAGCATCACTTTTTTTTCTTTTTAGAGATGGGGTCTCACTCTGTCACTCAGGCCGGAGTACAAAGGCATGATCACAGCTCACTGCAGCTCATTCTCCTGGGCTCAAACAATACTCCTGCCTCAGCCTCCTGAGCAGCTGGAACTATAGGAATGTGCCATCTTGCCCAGTCCCACCATCATTTTTGTGATATTCTTGTAAAAAAAAAAAATGCATATTCTAAATTCAACCATGAACAAATATTAGACACACCCAAATTGAGGGATGTTCAATAACTAGCCAGTACTCTTCAGAAATGTAAAGATTATGAAAAACAAAGAAAGACTAAGGTACTTTCTAGATTAAAAGAAACTAAAGAGACAGGACAATTAAATGCAAGGTGTGATTCTGAATTGGACCCTGGACTAAAATTAGTGGGACAGTTGGTAAAATGTGAGTAAGGTCTGTATACTACTTAATAGTATTTCTGGTTTTGATCATTATACTATGGACATGTGACATATTAACATTTGGAGTACCAGGGTGAGAAGTATATGAGAATTCATGATTTTTGTAATTTTTTATAAATATGAAATCATTTTAAGTGAAAAGTGAGAAAATGAAAAAAGATTTAATAAACATTTTAAAATAATAATGATAGGTGTCTTTTGTAGGCAACGTATAGTTAGGTCTTGCATTTTTATTCAGTTTGACAATCTCCATCTTTAACTGAAATATTTAGTTTGTCATAATTTATCTGATTGGGTTCTTAAAATGTGCTGTTTATTTCTGTTTGTCCTATGTTTTTTGTGTCTCTGTTTCTCTTTTTCTGCCTTATTTTGGATTAGTTGAATATTTTGTGATACTTCATTTTAATTCTTCCCTGGGCTTTTTAGCTCTAATATTGTAATGATTAACATATGTCAGTCACACCACTTCATGTAAAATGTAAGAGTCTTACAACAATATGGATTCATTTACTCCACTTGTCTTTAGTGTGATGTCGCCATTTGTATTACATCTACATATGTTTTTAAACCGTAATGTAGGGATATAATTTTTTCTGTAAATAACAATTTGTTATTTAAGTGATTGAGATGGTACTTTGTAAAAAAAAAAAAAAAATTACCCACCTATTTGCTATTTTTGGTGCTCTTCATTTCTCTGAATTTCCATCTGGTACCACTTATCATCAGCCTATTGAATAACTTCCTCTAGCATATCTTGTAATGCCAGCAATTTGTCTGCTGATAACAAATTATCTTAACTTCACTTATCCAAAATTCTCTTTATTTTCCTTTCCTTTTTGATGGATATTTTTGCTAGATACAGAATTTTAGGTAATTTTTTTCTTTCAGCACTTAATAGATATTATTCAGTTGTCTTCTGGCGTCTATTGTTTTTGATGAGAAGTCACCCATAATCTGTTTCTTTGTGTGTAATGTGTTTTATCTGCTGCTTTCCTGATTTTCCTTTTATCTTTTGTTTTCAGCATTTAATAATAATGTGCCTACCCATATTTTCTTTATATTTATCCTGCTTCAATTCACTGACTTAGTCTAAGCTTGTGTTTTTCCAAATGTGGAAAAATGTTGGCTGTTTTTATTTTTCTACCCCATCACCCCCCTCTTTCTGGGACTCCATTTATACAGATATGAGACTGCTCAAAATTTTTCCAACAAGTCTTCTTTATTTTTCATATATGACAAATTTTGTTGATGTATTTCAAGTTAATGAAACTTTTCTCCAGTCATCTTCAAGCCACACATTAAACCCATCCACCAATTTTTATTTCATATATTGCATTCTTTAGTTCTAAAACATACATTTGATTCATTTTTATAGTTTCCATTTCACTGCTGAGATTCTCCATCTGTTCATTCATGATGACCTAATTTTTAAGTCCTTGAATATCTTTATAATAGCTGTTTTAATTTCTCTGCTTATTTCAAGATCTGGGTCATCTCATAGTTGGTTTCTATTAATTACTTTTTCTCTTGATACTGGGTCATATTTTCCTATTTATTTGCATGTCTAATAATTTTCCATTGTATATTGGATAATGTACATAGTACATATCAGAAACAATAAATTTTGTTATCTTTCCCTGAAGAGTATTGATTTTTTTTCTAATAAGTTAACTTAGCTGAACTCCAAATTCTATCTCCCCTTGGTGAACACCAACTGAATGCCGTGCTTAATCCTTTCAGCCTTCCAGTGGTTGCCTTTCACTTGTGCAATTGACTGTTAAATTAGGGATATGGGTAGAATTTCTGTATAGATTTGGAGGGACCCTTATGGCTTCTTCCTTTCTGGGATTTTTCTCCTCACTGGCCAGAAAGGCTATGATCCCCAAACCAGGTCTTCTGAATCCTCAAGCTAGTGATATTGTAGATTTCTGTTTAAGTTCTAAGTGTTCCACACCAGATGGACTATGGATTAGTGCCAGGGGAAAAGATATATACTGAATCCTACTTAGAGCAATTTCTATTTTCAAGGATTGACTTCCATCCAGTTTCTGCTTGTTTTTGGTCACTCAATTGTTCTTTCAAAATAGTTGTTTTTATATTTTGTCTGAGTATATAATTATTATCTGAAGGATTAATCTGATATATACTAATCTGCCATTACCAGAAATTGTACCACATTACTTTTCTGTTTTCCATTGATTTTTCTACTGATGCTGCATAGGTTTAAACAAAAAAACTTATATTTTTTGTGAATGATGGCACTTTCTCATCAAAATCTTCTAAAGAAATTGAGCATATTACTAATTTTCTTTTTTCTTTTATAGACAAGAGATGATTTCCTCGGTCAAGTGGATGTCCCACTTTATCCATTACCGGTTGGTATAGGTGTCCATGATTTTGCTTTTTGTGTTTATTCTTTTTAATTTAAGAAATACTTATATATACATAATATAGTTAATATAAATATTCAATTTAGTAAATATATACCGGTTTCATTTCTCAAGCATATCATTTTCTAAAAACTCTTCTCAGTTTTCCATTTCAATTTGCTCTTTAAAATTTCCTTACATGAACCTCAGTGAGCAATAGAAAGCCACTGAAATTGTTGGCATTATGAACGCATTGTGCAAGGAAGATCAGTTGGGAAATCTTCTGCTGAATAACCAGGGTGGAGAGAGCCTAAGGTCACAGAAGGAAACGTAGATAGTTTATTTACAACAATATAAATGTAAAACACTGAGAATCTGGACTATGTGTATAGCAATGGAGAAAAACAGATTCAGGAAACACTTCAGAATAAAACATTATTGGATCAAGTGTCTGACATGGAGGTTGAAAAAAGTAAACAAAAAGTAAAGATAATACAAGTTGAACTTAGAAGATAAAGGTGGCATCTCATGTGGGAAGGTAAGGAGGAAAAACATTTTGTTTTGAAATACAAGAAATTTATTTTTGAACATACTGAATTTCAGTAGAAAATAAGAAAAATGAAGGCTTAAAGTGGACAGGTGACAGAGACATAAAAATGAATTATGTAGGAAAAAGGGACTAGAATGATTGAGGGTTATCACTGTCTGGGTAACAGCAGAATCTCTGACCATGATGGGCTGTCCAGATAAGAGAGAGGAGAGCAGAGGGCCAGCCGAGAACCCCAGGCAGCGTGGGTGGATCAGGGGAGAAGGAAAAGACAGGCAAGCAATTGTTTGTTCTCCTAGAATTGTCTCTATGCTCTAACCAGACCAACCTGCTGGCATGTACATATTCCATGTTCTTTTGGGGTGCCAACATACTAACTATACTGTGTTTCTGCTTCTTCTCTTCTACCCTCCTTTTGGCTCCACAACCTACCTGCTCAGCTAGTTTTAGACTGAGTTGGGATGCTGGCTGTAATTCCTGTAGTGCCACAAAGTGAAAGCAGTGTCAAGTTACTAATTGTAACCTTTAATAAACTAGAGCTACTTTTTTCTTATTTCTGACCTCCATTATGCCTTAGTATAGTTCATGAATATTCTTGAAAAATGCATGTTTTTGGTGTTATATCTTGAAAACCCACTTGTTTTATTCTAGACAGAAAATCCAAGAATGGAGAGACCATATACATTTAAGGATTTTGTTCTTCACCCAAGAAGGTCAGTACATAGAAAATAATAGCATATTAAGTTTTTTATGTGTTTACTATACCTTACAGTTGCCTCTTTGGAAATTCAAGTTTAAACCTTTGTAAATAAGCTACTTCTAAATATTATATATTTTTAAGAGCTTTATTGTTATTTCTGATTAAGAAGTGCTATGTGCACATTGTGAAAAATTCTGAAAATACAGAAAAGTGATCACACCCCTTTCGAATAGATTTGTGCTCCTAATATTTATCAGACTACAGGCTTAAATTTGTCTTTATTTTATATCTTGAAGCTTATATAATTTTGTCATACTGTACTTTAAAAAATCAAAAGCATCAATTTATCTAAAGCCAATACCTGAATTAGACATGCACAAATTCAATTTCAGAAAATTTATGTACATTTTACATACTCTAATAGGAAAAAGTATTTCAGAAGACTCACATATTTAGAGAAAATAACATGAGAGAAGACTGGAATTTAAAACCCAAATAGCATACTTAAAATTTCATTTTCCTAAACTAAATTACTTGATTTTTATCAGAATTTTAAAACGTAAGCTGTAAATAAAACTCCTTTTGATCTTCTATACCACATCATCAAATAAAATCCAGTCAAAATGTGTGTGGATATACTGTCAAAAAGGTCAAAGTAAAGCAGAGAAAGGACATCTGTGAAAACAGTATTTGTCTTGTTTCTTAAACTACAAAATGCATTTGAAAAATGTACTATTGGAACTTAGTAAAATTTTTTATGTAAAAATGATTTTAAAAAATCATTACTCTTTAAAAAATATTACTCTTTGTACTATAAATAGTAAAACTAAAAAGTGGTCACTTTTTAAAACTTAATGTTTATTTTTTATAAAAGAAGTCACATATTTAATTTCTATAGCAATCTGAAACACAAATCTCTTTTCTTCTTTAATTTTAAACTGATGGTGACATTCCCTACTAAGAATCACTAAATAAATATTTTTTTCTTATTTGGTTGCTCTAGTAGCCTGCTTTTCAGTTTTTCAAATGCTTTCTAGTGTCTTTATCTTTAAAAAATACAATTTATTTCTTCTGTCTGCATTGTATGTTATTGCAAGTACAGAAAAAACTTCATGCAGATAGAAAATGTACTACATTCCTAGATTTGTTTGAGCTCCATTAAGTCAAAACCCTCAGACTTACTTTCTAGTTGGAAAGACATGAAACATATAATTGTAGAGAAACTTTTCAACAAGATATTATCTGAGCATATTTTCTACATCCATCTTTTATAGCAACAAGTCAGTGTTCACACCCGCTTATAAATATGAAGACAGAAGCCACATTAGTAGCTCTGGAAATAAGTATTGGGGATTTTACTGACCACTCAGGAAAGGGTACACAGAATTTTCCAAATTCATGAAGAACTAAATAGAGAACATCTAAAAAAATTAAGGGAGGCATGTGGGTGGAGAGCAGGTCATCTCTAGAAGACAGGATAAAAGGATTAGGACCCTTGTCTAGAAGGACAAAGGGTAATTGTTACATATCTGATATCTGTAAATATCACCAAAAAACCCCCAAAATCTATATAGATAGCTAGGACAAGCAAGGATTTTTGAAGTAAATTTTAGGATGCTAGAATTGGTGGAGGCAATAGATAGAATTAAGCCTTAAATTAGAAGCTTTCGAAGGACAGATTTTTAAGAAGATTTAAGATATTGCTACAGTGAGCAGCAACCTTTAGCTTAGACAGCTCATTATTTAATGAGGAGATACAATATGAAAATAGATTAGATAAATTAATGTGTGACAGATTCAAACAGCTGTCAAAGGAAGGTAGCAGTTTCAGACAGTTACCAGGCCTTGCTGTCTACTTTTCCGTCACCTGATACAGTGTGGTCAGATTGGTATCCCTAAAGCACATCTGTGAGGAAGCCTTTCCTATCCCAAAAACTCTCAGTGGCTTCCCAACATGTGCAAAACAAAGTCTAAAATTCTCTTATTTTGCATGAACTCATCATCTAGACAATTGCTGCTTCCTACACTCCCCTTTATGTATCCTATAATCCAGCCAAACTCAGCTACTGCTGTTTCCTTAATGACACCCCAGATTTACCATCTGTTTCCTTGTTTTTGCTCTTTTCTCCACTCATGCCTTTCCCTCCACTGCCACAGATCAAAATGCTTCCCAATCTTCTAGGCGCAGCTCAAATGCCAACTTCTTAAAGTTCTCTCTGCTCATTCACTTAAATTTTCTTAGCATCTTGTGTATAGCATAACAGTTATTTGTGTCTTTTTCTCCACCACCTATACCTTTTCCTATGTTTCTTCCTTACTAGATGGAGCTTGTCTTTGAATCTTCCCTAATAGATCCCCTTATAGCTAGTGAGTGTTCAATAACTCTTATTAAATGAATGTTTTCTTTCTAGTGTTAAAGTTTTATGAATAATTTTTTTCTTTTCTACAGTCACAAGTCAAGAGTTAAAGGTTATCTGAGATTAAAAATGACTTATTTACCTAAAACCAGTGGCTCAGAAGAAGAGAATGCAGAACAGGCTGAGGAATTAGAGGTGAGAGATGTTATAAATACTTGGTTACACTCAAAAAAAAAATCTAATGTCTTATTTTACTATACTCTGAAGAAAGATAACTTTATTCAGTGAAGTTAATGTGTGCAATAAAAATTATTTACCTCGACATTTATTGCACCTAAGCATTCATTAACAATTTCTTTAAGGATAGTTCTGTAGAATGGATGGCCATTATTGATGGCCTTCTTAAAGGTTAGGGAGTAGAGAATACAATGTTTATAAATGAAAACACTTATTGTAACTAGGCCATTAACTGTTTCTAGTTTTTCAAAGTTTTCTAAACTATGTCATATTCTCCATTAAAGTAAGAACTCAATTTAGTATTTGGAAGTTAAATGTATGGACATTTTGAGAAGACTTCACTAATTAGGAACTCTTGCATAAAATGGAATTCCTGTTACTTTTCCTATTATTGTGGGAGGGTCATAGAAAAGGAGGGGAATGAGAAAAAGAAAGGGGGAGAATTCAAGTGATCTAATAAAAAGCCATATTTATTTGGGGTGAGTAGAATTTAACAATTTTTATGGCTGACAGAATAGTCCAGGTCAAGTGTTTGAGTAGAGCTACATAGTGTCTGGGATGAGTGAAGAGGAGGTAGAGAGTATGTATTTGGAATAGAATTGCATAGGGATTTGTGGGATTTTTTTTTAGTTTTTATTTTGTTTTATTTCAAAATACTACAGGGGTACAAATATTTTTGGTTACATGGATCACTTTTGTAATGCTTGAGTCAGGGCTATAAGTGTGCCCATCACCCAGATAGTGTTCATTGTACCCATTATGTAGTTTTTTGCCCATCCCCTCTGCCTCCCACCCCCTCCCCCGCTTGATTTTCACTGAGTTTTACTTTCCTCTATGCACTTGTGTGCTCATCGGTTAGTTCCAATTTAATAGCAAGTACATGTGGTGCTTGTTTTTCCGTTCTTTAGATACTTCACTTAGGATAATGGTCTCCAGTTCCATCCAGATTGTTGCACAAAACATTAAGTTATCCTTCTTCATGGCTGAGTAGTACTCCACAGTGTACTCCACAGTGTATGTGTGTATGCCACATTTTTTAAATCCATCCACTCATGAATTGGTGGGCACTTGGGTTGATTCCACATCTTTGCAATTGTGAATTGTGCTGCAATAAACATTCCAGTATAGGTGTCTTTTTGATAAACTGACTTCTTTTCCTTTGGGTAAATACCTAGAAGTAGTATTGCTGGATTGAATGGTAGGTCTCCTTTTATTAATAGTTCTTTGAGACATCTCCATGCTATTTTCCATAGAAGTGGTACTAATTTGCAGTCCCACCAACAATGTATACGTGTTCCTTTCTCTCTGCATCCACGTCAGCATCTATTGTTTTTGGACTTTTTAGTATTAATAAAAGCCATTCTACTGGAGTAAGATGATATCTCATTGTGGTTTTAATTTGCATTTCCCTGATGATTAGTAACATTGAGCATTCTTTCATGTTTATTGGCCATTTGTCTATCTTCTTTTGAAAAACTTCTGTTCATGTCTTTTGCCCGCTTTTTAATGGGGTTGTTTTTTTCCTTGTTGATTTGCTTGAGTTCTTTGTAAATTCTTGTTATGAGCCCTTTATTGGATGTATACCTTGAGTATATTTGCTCCCATTCTGTAGGTAGTCTATTTGCTCTGTTGATTATTTCCTTAGCTGTATAGAAGCTTTTTTATTTAATCAAGTCCCATTTATTTATTTTTGTTGTTGCTGTGATTGCCATTGGCGTCTTTTTTGTAATTTCTTTGCCTAGGTCAATATCTAGCAGAGTTTTTCCTACATTTTCTTCTAGAATTCTTATGGTTTCATACCTTACATTTAAGTCTTTTATCCATTTTGAATTAATTTTTGTGAGTGGTAAGAGATACAGATTCTGTTTCAATCTTCTACATGTGGCTATCCAACTTTCCCAGCACCATTTATTAAATAAGGCTTCTTTGCCCCAGTGTATATTGTTGTCTGCTTTGTCAAAGATCAGTTGGCTGTATTTGGACAACTTTGTATATGGGTTCTCTGTTCTGTTCCCTTGGTCTATCCCTCTATTTTTGTGCCAGTACCATGCTGTTTTGGTTTCCATAGCCTTGTAGTATAGTTTGAAGTCTGATAATGTGATGCCTCTAGATTTTTTCTTTTTGCTTAAGCTTGCTTTGGCTATTCAGGCTCTTTTCTGATTCTAAACAAAGTGTAGAATTATTTTTCCTAGATCTATGAAATATGATGTTACTGTTTTGATGGGGATTACATTGAATCTGTAAATCCCTTTGGTTGTATGGACATGACATTTTAACAATGTTGATTCTACTGATCCATGAGCATGATATGTTTTTGGGGACTGGAATTCTAGCTGCAAGCTCTACTACCAGTCAGACCCTGTATGAGTTGCTGAACTTTTCTGAACCTCAGGTTCTTCATTTCCAGAGTGACGTAATTGCAGCAGATGCTTCTGGGGTTTTTTTCAGCAGGAAAAATTATAATTTGAAAAAGAGGCAAGAAATACCTGCTTCTTTGAAGGTAGATCATCAAAAAGTTTTATCATTTAGTCAGTAACAATTACGTATGGTACCAAATTGCTTTGGAAGGTACTTTGTTTTGTGCCTGTGTGTGCCTTCCTTAACACATTCGACTCTTTGAGGACCTGCTTAGGCCTGCATAAGAACAGTGGAGCTGAGGGATCTTCCCAAGGGCTAGTATCTGCTTCACATGCTCACATGCTTTGAGAAAGAAAGCTCCTGAACAAGCAGTGAATTTGCAACAAAGCTTTCTGTAATTTTTTTTTTTTTTTTAAGGAACAGACCTTGGATGAATCTGGAAAATTTTTAAATGCACTAATGAGATTTTCCTTTGTAGGGGAATCTATAGTAATAGAACTTTTTCCCTTCAAATCACAAGTATAAGTTGTCTTAGGCGATCAAAGAACTTGTTATCCTCTCTTAATTCTATATTCACTTATTTGATTAACTTTTTTCTCATTTGTTTTTCTCTGACTTTGCATATAATAATCATTTTTAAAGTATCAAAGATATTTATTTGTTAGAAGTTTCTCTACCTGGCTTTTTGGTGCTCTAGGATATCTTGCATAATGGAATTCTGTTTGAAATGAAGGATGTTTGCTGGAAAGAAAGAGAATTATTTAGTAGCTTAAAAAAATTTAACAGCATTTCATTATTTAGCAACCTACTCCAAGTTTTTCCCACATGCACATATCATAGGATCTCATTCACAGTTTGGTTTGTGTGGTGAGAACTGCTTCACTTCATTTTGTGGTCTCACATCTCAATGTTTGAACTCCCTCAAAATGCACCTTATAATTTCAGACGATGTAAACGTGTAGGAGTTTATTTATGAAAGGCCCTAGGAATTTAAATACATGAATGTGTGCTTATTTATCTTCTGTGTAGCTAATGACCAGAGAAGTCTTGCCTTTAACATCTAGTTTGTGACTGAATGTATAAAATCCTACTATTTAAGGAAAACAATTGTAATTTTGAAAATAAGCTCACTCTTAGGCAGTTTTTATTCCTAAATCAAGTATGGCTATAGTAGATAATTACATAACATTTGATTTTTGTACCTTTTGTAACTTTAGGGTTAGTTGTATGTATTTTACAAAATTAACATATAAAATGTTTGTTTTATCTCTGAATGCTTTCTTTCTAACCCTCTTTCAGGCATAATTGTGGACAATTGCACATTAGCTTTGAGGTTAGTAATTAAGTGAGGTTCATTGATACTTAGAAAATTATTTTGTAAAGAAAAGTAGCTCATATGTGTTTAATAGGGAGGCATTCTATCCAAAAAATAAAAACCCAGTCTTTCTAAACAGTGTTTGATTGTACAACTTTACCCTTACAAACTTGAAACAGGTTTTCTAGAAAAAAAGGCCCTTAATTAAAGTAATTTTTCTTTCTTTCCTTTAATTTACTTGGGTAACATAAATACAAGAAGCAGATCTTTAAGAGAGAAATCTTCAACAAACTTTTAAAGAAATATTCCTTTGGTACCATTTTCCTAGTTCTGGATATTTTTATAATTCTTTACAGCAGTAGTGAGAACACTTTTGTATTAATAAATTTTATTGCTCTCATAGGAAAGTAACAGTGATCGATCATATTCAACCAAAAAAATCTCAAGTTAATATTTTATTCTTTTATCAAAAGAAATTCAATTCACATGCTTTTGAAATTGAGAACAGAGAAATAAAATCTGACTCAATATGTGCAAGACTAATTTTAGATAGCTGGAGCCTATATAATGATCATTTAAGGGAAAGGAAAGAGAGAAGGAAGATAAACATAGATGGAGAAACAAAGCAAGAAGGATAGAGGGAAAGGAGAGAATGAATGGAATTTGGCCAATAAAAAGAAAAAACAAAATTTAAAGAGATGTCATAGGTTAGGTAAAAAGAAACAAGAAGAAAGAAAAGGAGTCAATTTTACTTCCCATCCACATCTCTCTTCCCAAAATAATTCTTTCTGTCTTCTTCCCCAGCCTTTCATCTTCTGTTCTGCCTCAGCCTACAGCTCTCCCACCAGAGCTAGTCAGACCAACCTTGCTGCAGAAACCCCTATCGTTTTTCTCCCCGATACCGAAAAACATTCCTTTCCTTCCCAGCTCTTTCCCCTGACCCCTCATTTTCAGGCCCCGCCTTCCAGCATAGAGAAATACTCTTCCATCTTCTGGGCCGTCACCTGCCTGGCACACAGTGGTCAGTCCCTGCTGATCTCCAAGGCCTTAGAACAGGAACTCTGTGTACATTAAAGAAATTATATTTTGTCTATTATCACAGTACCAAAAATGTTTCCCAATCCGTCATTTGTCTATTTTATTTTATTTAGGAGTTTTGGCCATGTACAACTTTGGGGGTTTTGTAGTCAAATTGATGGATCTTCTCTTTTGTGCCTTCTGGGTATGGCATTGTAATTAACAGAATCCCACCCTTAAAATACGTTTTTAAAAGTTCCCGATGTTTGTTCTCATACTTGCTGGTTTTACTTCTTAACATTTAAATATTACTCCACCTGGGCCAGGGCGCGGTGGCTCACACCTGTAATCCTAGCACTCTGGGAGGCTGAGGTGGGTGGGTCAATCAAGGTCAGGAGTTGGAAACCAGCCTGAGCAAGACCCTGTCTTTACTAAAAATAGAAAGAAATTAATTGGTCAACTAAAAATATATACAAAAAATTAGCCAGGCATGGTGGTGCATGCCTGTAGGCCCAGCTACTTGGGAGGCTGAGGCAGGAGGATCGCTTGAGCCCAGGAGTTTGAGGTTGCTGTGAGCTAGGCTGACGCCATAGCTCTCTAGCCTGGGCAACAGAGTGAGACTCTGTCTCAAAAAAAAAAAAAGTAAATATTACTCCATCTGTAACTTATCCAGGTATAAGGTAGGAATATAAATTTTTCCAAAATAGATACCCATTTTCTAAGTAATCTGCCTATTTTCCCACAGATTTGAAATGTCTTTATCATATACTCAATTCCTATAAATTGAGTCTCTTTCTGGGCTTTATGATCTATTGAGCTGTCTCCCTATGTGTGCACCAGTGCCACACAGTAATTATTATAGTTTATAATGTTTTACCTGGTAGGGCTAATCCTCATTCTTTGTTCTTTTTTAGAATTGGGTTGGTTATTCTTCCATGTTTGTGTTTGTATTTGAAGTAGAGAATGGGCTTGTATCCTTATTTTTAAAAATTCATAAAGTAGTTTGATTGGAATCTTGGCAAATTTATAGACTAATTAGGGAAGAACTGACACCTTTGTGAGATTGAGTCTTCCTAGCCAAGATAATATTATGTTTTTTCATTCATTTAGGTCTTCTTTTATGTCCCTTTACGAGCATTGTACAGTTCCTTCACTAGTTTATTTCAGTTTCTGATACTTTCCTAACCATATCAGTATTTAGAAGAATCTTTCACCTACTACTTTTCTGTGAAGAGGTTTCTTGTATAATAGCATTAACTCTTGCTACCCTTTTCAGTTAATTCCTTACTTTAATTAATCTAGCTAAGGCTTTGTGTTTACTTTGCCCCTTTCTAGTCTCAGAGAAACCAAACTTCCAATGCATTTTTTTAAAATCTTTCTTTGGCTATTTTATGACTTTAGCAAAATACATTGCCTTGATCCAGAACAGAAAGAGAAAAATCAAACAAGAGAATTATAATGAATTTTCAATCACTAGAGAGTTCACTATAGCAATTATTTCTAAATCATTTGCCCTTCCATGTCATGCCTCTAGGTATGTGACCTTTATCTAGTGATATTTTTTTTTTTCATGTCTCGGATAGTTACTGATTTCCACCATAAGCAAGGTGCTTTCTCTGTGAAAAAGACAATGGCCAATGAGACCATCCTTGTTCTTCATTCAGTTGCTAATAATTTAGAGAATAGCCTAAGATTACACTAGCACTTTAAACTAGGCTTCCCAATTTCTCAGTGCTTTCCAACTTTGCATTGTTGTTTATGTAAAAGATTTTTTGTCTTTTTTTATATGTTTTTTATATTTTATTTTTAATTGACAAATATTAATTGTATATGTTTATAGGGTACAGAGTGATGTTTTGATACATGTTTACAATGCGAAATGATTCAATCAACCTAATTAAATCCATCGCCTCACATACTTGCTTTTTGTGTGTCAAAATTTAAAATAGATTTATTTTAAAACTTTTTTTGAAAATGTAAAGACAATTTCAAACAAAATTTAAATGGATATTTTGCAAAACAATCTTCTTTGTCATAAAATATTCATATTTTCTGAAAAGTTGACGATGTGCTAATCCTATCAATGCATAATTTCTGGACCTGGATATAATAAATCTCCTTTAAAATTTGTTTTAGCATATAATTGATAAGGTTAAAAAAAAATCAAGAACAAACTTAATTGTTAACATCTTGTTTTTCAGCCTGGCTGGATTGTTTTGGACCAACCAGATGCTGCTTGCCATTTGCAACAGCAACAAGAACCTTCTCCTCTACCTCCAGGATGGGAAGAGAGGCAGGATATCCTTGGAAGGACCTACTATGTAAACCATGAATCTAGAAGAACACAGTGGAAAAGACCAACCCCTCAGTATGTGATGATGGCTTTCACATTTGTAATCTAGATATGTTTTTGACTACTAATTTCCATTTTGAAGTCATGTCTCAAATGGATTCATAACAGTATAGGGGTCCATAAACTGGAAGAATACCCAGACTTTATGGCCCAGGGCTTAAAAAATACTACCTCAGCTGTTTCTTTTTTTTTTTTTAATGATTTAATAATACTCAAAATTATTTGAATCACAGATGCTACTCTTTTAATTGTCTCTTAATTTTAATAAATTTTTAATTATTATGTAGCCACAAATGGTACATTTTTCTCTTTAGACTGATTTAGAAAATCTTGGAGACTTTTTGTAGTATGTTGTTAAAATATAATAAAATGTTAATTTCTGCAGCACCTTATTTTTTAAATACAAATTATTTGTAAAATATAAAAGAATCAACAGTAAAGGTCTCATGTTAAACACCAATTTGACAATCTGATCAATGTAGGTATAACTTCCAATATGCACAGATCAAGGACAGAATGACCTTTGACATATTCTAACTTATGTCTCCTCAGTGATGTTTTTTCTTTTACCAACATAAGATAGTATATGCATTTGTAAATTCTCCCATTATTCATATTTATTACTAAATTGCCCTCCATTTTTCCTTCCGTATAGTCTTATGAAATCTTTCTTTAGTCTTCTGTCGTTTAATACATACTTAAAATTTTTTTATCTGTCCATTAGCCTCCTAATTTTTGGCTTTGATATTTTGTGTCTGATATATGCCAAGCACTTTCATAGATATTTTCTGTTCTTGAATCCTTCCAAAAACTCAGCAATCCAGTTTCTTCATGGCACAGAAGCATCAATCTTTGTAGAATGACATACAGATCCCAGAATTGAAGACACTATAAAATTCTGCAAAATTGCCCCATTGCATACCTCAGTATTATGGCAAGCCTGACTTGAGCAGAATCACATTACTTTCCCTATGGCTAATGTCATTTTCAGGTAGCCAAAATCAAATATTCAGGGAGAAAAAAACTGAGGCATTCTCTTAGAACCATCTGTCAAAATTATGTTTTTTTCAGCTACAGTACAGTAAGCTTTGGTCTTCTGACTATTTGGGGCTCATATGACATTAAATAAATTAACAATAATTTTGTATATCTAAATAATATTCTTGATTTGATAGTCTGGTTATATTAACTGCAAATAACTATAGTAATATAACTTATAAATGACTGGGGTAAGGGTGTTCAATCTGATTTATTGTAGCTTTTCTAAACTCAGTCCTTTTCTGTTATCCTTTTTCAGACCAGGCCCATGACTGGATATGATCAAAAACAAATAATATTTAATCCCTAATCTATTGAGCTTTTAATTATAGAATCCTTACACTCTCTCTCATTCTGCCCTCTGCATTCATGCATAGGGAGCTCTATTCCTGGCTTAAAAACATTTCTAGAATATGTATTGTCTGATTCACAAAGATGTGTTTGTAACTCTAGAGCTACTTTAGATTTTACTCTTGTAATATGGTAAAATAATAATATAATGAAATGATTTATGAACCTCTCTGATATTCATTCATTCAACAAATATTTTTCAGTGACCGTATGTGTCAGACAGTATCAGACATACAGTATCAGTATCAGACCGTATGTGTCAGACACAATGATGAACTAAAATATCAAAGTCAGACTCATTACACATTTTCCCGAAAAACTTTTTAAATCCATGAGGGACTCTGAAGGTACCAATGTGCCCACCACTTAATCTATATATATTGCAATAGCCTTTGGCCAAAAACAATAAATTCTTATCTAATATAGGTAGTTTTTAAAATGATAACAGAGTCTTTGACTATCATTTTCACTATCTTAAGACAAGGGTGATGGCTTTTTATACTTCCAATACAGGGACAACTTAACAGATGCCGAGAATGGTAACATTCAACTGCAAGCACAACGCGCATTTACCACTAGGCGGCAAATATCCGAGGAAACAGACAGTGTTGACAACCGGGAGTCTCCCGAGGTATGGATAGTTTCCTAGTTCTCATTGACAGACACATGTTATGGCAATAAATTATAGTATGTATGGCTTATTCTGTTCATTTTAGAACTGGGAAATCATAAGAGAAGATGAAGCCACCATGTGCAGCAATCAGGCCTTCCCATTGCCTCCACCGTCAAGTACCTTGGATCCTCAGCCTCACCTTGCAGAAGAATTGTACGCCAGGCTCACCGTGGGTGGAAACTCAGCCACCAGCCAGCCAGTATCCAGCTTAGTAAGATGCCCTTAGATTTTGTTACGGCTTCAGGATTTTATGTTGTACATATTATGCCATTCAACAGCTAACTTTTGCATAAAATTTTGTCTTAAATGGCATGTAACAATATGCTGGGGACCTTGAGACTTTACAGCATGGTCATTTTTCAATATCTTGACTAATGGTATGGACCAGAGTCAGGAGTCCAAATGTCCATTTATGTCAGTGCCCTCCAGCCAGAAACCACCAAGAACACTGCAGTTGAACAAGTTGGGTTTATTACTTGTTTCAGCAAGGAACACACACCACAGGTGTCTCGGTAGCAGGGTGTTAGAAAAGACTTAAAGGGTTGGGCTCATGTTAGGTGATTTTGAGTAAGGTTTTAGTAAGGGTTTGTGTTAGATGCCGCCAGGAAGCAGGGGTAACTTTGTGATTGTGTATCTCAAATCTTATCTATAGTGAGGCTAAAGCTATGACTGTCAAAGAAGAGCGGTCACTCAACATTTGCCAGTTGGGAAAATACTTGGTATTTTGTAGCTTTGGCAACGTTTACATTTTGTCTTTATTCAGACACGGTTATAGAATGGTCTTGATCCTATCTAGGAGTGCCAGGCCACTTCCTGGGTGTCAGGGGCTGCTTTTCTCTTTCTCAGCTATAATTAAGTTTTAATATTATATCACAGATGTCGCCAACACACACTTGTGAATAAGAGCTGCTGTGCTTTGATTAACAAGGAGATAAATAACATTCTCACTTCAGCAACTACTATAAAAATTCCTGTCTGTAGGGTTCAGAAGCAAGTATTCCAGCATACGCTGCCACAGCGAGACATTCATGGCTACCTGTCTAATCTGTATCATCGAGGGAGATCCAGTAGAAGACAAGGATGGTTGTCTGAGGATGTTATTGATCATTTCCAGTCGGGGTTCCCCTGCTTTTCATTCAGTTAGTAAATATTGAGAGCTGATCATAGGCAAGGCACTATATGCTAGTTACTGGGGATATATCAGTAAATAAAAAAGACAAAAATCCCTTACCTCCGTGGCATTTATATACTAGTGCAGGGGTCCTATTACCTGTGGGCCACATCGGCAGCTGTGTATTACAGTAAATGAAGTATCACTGGAATACAGCCACACCTATTTAAGTATTGCCTCTGGCTGCTTTCATACCATATCACCCAAGTTAGTTATATTAATAACAGCCACCATATGGCCCATCACAGGTATTTACTGTCTAGACCTCAGTAGGAAAAGATTGCTAACTTCTATTCTAGCACCTTCTCCAAGAAGCTTCACCATAGATAGCTGTATGTGAATAGCTGTATGAATATGGAGGAACAGATCCACCTGTCTGACCTCCTTTCTTTCTTCTGTCCTGTCTTCCATTCATTTCATTGTTTCTCCTGACAGTGGAAAAGGTCAGTCAAAGACTGAAAAGATAAGCTATTTTGATTTGCTGGTGATAAATCACATAGGATCTCATTCCCTTTCCTCCTGATATTTTTTTATAATTGTAAAAGTAGTACATGGCACCCATACAATGTAATACTATGCAGCCAGTGAAAAGAATGAGGTGGCTTTGAGTGTTTATGCTGTATGGAACAACCCCTAAGAGATATTAGTACAAAAAAAAAACCATCCAGATACAGAACAATGTCTTCGCTGTGCTACCATTTATCTAAATTATTTAAACAACAGAATAAATATATATATGATATATCTTGAAAACTAAACAGAAAATTGGCAACATTGCTTCCCTCTCAAGAGAGGAACAAGGTGAACAGGGCATATATCTTTTTGAGTTTTATACCATGTGTGAGTATTACCTATTCAAAACAAATAATTGATTATTTTCAAAGCATTGTATGGTTATGGTGAAACATTGAGATAGTATTGAGGTGCATAAGATAAATCTTCCATCTTACCTCTAACATATGCTCCATCAGTCACTATTAATAGATATATTGTCTTAAACATTTTTTAAGTATTCATAAACATGTATGCATACACATGTATTTGTATATAATTTTTTAACCTGAGATCATCTTAAACAGATGATAATTTGCATTTTTCACTTGCCCTATGTTGGACATTGGATCATCTTAGTAAAATATTGTAGATGTACTCTTTAAAACTGACAAGAGCAATCATCAAGCTCTGGCATATTTCATGGTACAAGTAACCCTTAAGGTATTTCACCAGTCTCCTGTTGATAGACTTAGATTGTTTACAGCTCTTTGTTACTATAAACTGCACTACAGTAGATATTCTGGGTTAATGTATACGTGCATTATGAACTTGACATCATTAAATAACAAAACTAAGATAGTTCAGATAGCAACACCAGCATGTATATAAAGGTACAGGGAAGAAAGGATCTGGGATTTTCAGGAAACAAGTAATCTGGAATGCCCAGCAGGTAGGTTGTGAGCTGGGAAGCAGATGAAGAGGTCAGGGAGAGGGGCAGGTGGTGGAGCTCAAGAAGCATCATGTTCTGTGCTGTGATGGGCTTCGGCTCGAAACAGGCAGGACCAGATCTGCGTGTAGGATGCTCTCTGGCTTTGGCGCACAGGCTGGAAGAATGGGCTTAAGGAAATGAGACTCGAAGCAGGAAAACCTGTAACGATGTTGCTGCCGTAATAATCAAGGTGGCAAATAATAAAAGCTTGAAATTAAAGGGAAAAAAACAAACTTGAACTACAGTAGAGAGGGGATATAGTTGAGAATTAGTAAAGAAATAGACTGAATAGGATGGCGTGCTGCCCACTGAAAGGAGGAAGACCAGAGCGGGAACGGGATTGAGCGGGTGTGGGTGGGGAAAAACCAAATCCAGATCTGGACACGTTGAGGGGGTATCTGTTACGCATTCAAGACAAAGGGTCCAGGAGGCAGTCCAGCTCTGGGGGAGCAGTGGGAAGGCATCTGCACGTGGCACTGAGAGTGGCGAGGGCTGTCACCTGCAGTCCCCACAGTGACGTCCTAGCTGGCCTCCTCCTCTCCCGCCCAGTCACCCTCACTACCTGTCTACCGCTCAGAGATGACTCAGAGATCTAAAGGTATCATCCTTCTGTTGTGTTTTATTACAAGAACCATTCCAGCAGAAGAGGCAGCTTGCAAGCCTATTCTTTTGAGGAACAGCCTACACTTCCTGTGGTGAGTTTCATCCTCTCCCCTCAGTCTTTGATAAAACTATAAAACTCAGCACCTTTTTTGTTTTCTTAGAAGACTGAATGTGAATTTTTGACTGGGAACCAGTTGCAGGAAACCAACACAGCACAGAATCCTGGCTCTTGGCAGTGCGGTTGGGGAGGGAACCCAGAGACAGATCTTTAAAGACAAACCTCAAGGAACTGTCACTCTCATATTAAGAAAGCAAAGCCTCTGAGTGCTGGTGGCTGTGGGTGGTATCTGGGCTTGTTGGTTGAAGCCCCGTGCTAGCTGCAGGTCGTCTTCTGTGTGCCCCATGCAATTTGGAATCGCCGTGTCCAGCTGTCTCTGCTCCTCTGCACATGGCGTGTGGCATCCAGCCTTTGTACATCCATGGCGTCTAACAGCCCAGTCTGCCCTGTACACCTGAAGCATCAGTCAGGGTTTGGTCACTCAGGGAGGTGTGCACTGGCATTGGCAGGCCTGGCGGCCAGGTTAGAGTGTGTCATTCCCCCCCTCTCTCTCTTTCCTCCACTCTCATGTTCACCATTCTGCTGGGGCCTTGTGCTTCCTGCTCAGTGGCTTCCGAGCTGCAGGTTGGACTTTAAGAACTTCATGCTTACACCGTTGACTCCCTTGTGGTTTCCCAGCCTCCAGCCTCTTCCTAACTCAAGTTTCACTACTCTGAGTTTGCCTCTCCTTTACATAGCCCCCACTTGTTTCTTAAACCAAATTAAAATTCCTGGGCTCCCAGCTTCTTCAGCTTACCTTTCTCCTTATCCACCCACAGAAGCCTCCTGCTGTCTTCATCCCCGTCTGTGCTTTTTCTTCCTAGGAGGCTGACCCCATGTCCTAATTCTCTCCTGCTTCTGAGCCTGTGCACATTCTATTTCCCTACTTGGAATGGCCTCCTCACTCTTTCCACCAACCATTTGTAATTTTGAATGACAGTCTGTATAGCAGTTTTGAAAAATAGAGTGTGTTTTTGCTTTTATAGAAGTTCCAGCATAGGAGTGCAGCGGTGCCAAGATCCTCAGCCCAAAAGTAGTTCATTTGTTTAAAAAGATGGCACAGAGTCAGAGAGGGACACGGGTCATGTGCTGAGGAAAGAAGGACACCCACATGTGCGGTCCATTGGCCTGGTCAGTACTGACCATCAACAAGAGGGTAAATGCCATTGAGAGGTGGCCTTCACCAGCCTTGCTCTCCCTTGTGGTCACCTCTCTGACCTCTTCCATTAGACCAGAACCTGCTCAGGCAGAGTTCCTTGGCATTTTTCCTACTGCACCTTAGAATGTCCTCCATCCAGTGAAAATGTTGAATTTGTTCTATGTACCAGAAAAGCTTGTTTCTATGCATCTTTTTCTCAGTATATTGATTAGGGCTTTTTCTGAGCTTTCTTGAAGTATAATTTACCATAAAACCCAGCCATTTTTGAATGTACAATTAAAGAGTTTTTGTAAATGTAAACATTGTGCAAACATCACCACAATCAAGTTTAAGAATACTCTACCACACCAAAAATTTCCCTCAATCCCTATGCCTGCTCTCAGCCCCAAATGAACACTCTTCTGCTCCCTGTTGCTACAGTTTTAGCTTTTCTAAAAACTTCATACAAAGGGAATCACAAGTATGACATCTTATGTGTCTGGCCTTTTTTACTTAGCATGGTGTTTTTTGTTGTTTTTTGTTTTTTTTTTTTGAGACAGAGTCTCGCTTTGTTGCCCAGGCTAGAGTGAGTGCCGTGGCATCAGCCTAGCTCATAGCAACCTCAAACTCCTGGGCTCAAGCAATCCTCCTGCCTCAGCCTCCCAAGTAGCTGGGACTACAGGCATGCGCCACCATGCCCGGCTAATTTTTTCTATATGTATTAGTTGGCCAATTAATTTCTTTCTATTTATAATAGAGACGGGGTCTCACTCTTGCTCAGGCTGGTTTCGAACACCTGACCTCGAGCAATCCGCCTGCCTTGGCCTCCCAGAGTACTAGGATTACAGGCATGAGCCACCGCGCCCGGCCAGCATGATGTTTTTTGGATATATCCATGTTGTTGCCTGTCTCACTAGTTCATGGTATTCCGTAATATAGATATATCCACTATGATTCATAGATCAAAATTCAAAATGACAAAAGGAGGACCAGACTTAGGACTATTTTAAGTAAGCCTGAAAATAACCAGACCTCTCTTTGTTCATTTTTAATAGACAATGATAAACAGCATCTCCTAGCCCTTAGAGATATACAGTAGGGGTAACTTTTAACTTGGCACATGACTGTGATTTCTATAGTTAAATTACCTGGGTTCAAATCTCAGCTCTGTTTCTTACAGACAATGTATCATAATAAATTACTTCAACTTTTCAAGCTTCATTTTACTCTTCTATAAAATGGGCCAGTATTAGCAATTATCTCATTAAAATTTGGGGGTTAAATGACATGATCTATATTAGAGCACTTAGTGTGTGCAGTTGTTATTGTTAACATGTTTTATTAGTGATGTTATCTCTCTTATCATTATTGTCTGTTTTGCTGTTTTTTCCCAAGTGAAATACTATGTACTTTATTTTGTATACTTTAAAATAGTATTTAAAATGTTCAAAATAAAATAAAACAAAATGTGGTTCATTTTAAAGAGAGCTAGTTGTGAAGAAGAGGTGAGATTCCTTTTAAAGGATTTTTTCCTAATTAATAATTAAATCTCCTGTTATTCTTCACTTTAGCTTTTGCCTACTTCATCTGGATTACCACCAGGTTGGGAAGAAAAACAAGATGAAAGAGGAAGATCATATTATGTGGATCACAATTCCAGAACTACTACTTGGACAAAGCCCACTGTGCAGGTACCCTGCAATCTTCTCTATTAACTTATTTTCTTACGGGATTTAAATGGTCACATTCCTATGTGAACCGTTACATCACTGTGTAGTATACACTGGATACTTATAGCATCTTCTAATTATTTTCTGACATTGATGCTGAGTGTCCCCCATTTCCTGTGGATCTCTGGTATATACGAATTACCACTTGTTATTATGTAAAATAAGTCCAAGTGGGAATAAAAGGACAAAGTAAATGATCTAGTCTTTGTGTGGTTTTATAATTTGAATGGTTAAGATCATTATTTTACTAAAAAATAATCTTGGTGATTGATTTCTGTATGATGTATGATGATCTGTAAATGTATGATGATGACACTTCATCTTTGGCAACAGTGAGTACCTTTCATAATACTTCCTTGTAAGTGTCTGGCAAAATATTTATCTTATCACCATTTCTCTTGTTGAGAAATTTTTTAACACTGAAAAGTACAGAGAATAATATAGCAAATATATGCGTTCTTCACCCCCAGAATTTATCACCGTTAACAAGTTACCATATTCATTTTATTTTTAAAAATAAAGAGTCTTACAGATTAAGCTAAATTCCTTTTAGCCAAGCTCTTGGTCCCATTCCTCAGAGAGAACCCCTGGCTTGAGTTTGCTGTGTATTCTTCTAGCCTATTTTATATAGAGCTAAACAGTGTAAAATATTGTTTGTGGCCATGTGTTTCAAATTTTGCGTAGATGTTATGCCCTGTAAATCCAAATCTGTTTTTTGCTCAACATTGTTTTAAAGCCCTACCCATGTTGGTATAGATGTAGTGTGTTTCTTTGAACTACTAATATTCCATCATGTGAATATATTGCATTTCAATTATCCATTTCTATAGCGGATATTTGCCATTCATTTTGTCTACCCAGCATTTGAATCTACTTCTGTGTATGAGGAATTCCCCACTTTATGAGTTTTAGGGGAGCAAAGACAACCTCCTCCTGCAGGCACTGTGGCCCCCCTTGCAGTAAGAGCTCGAGCCTGTGGATCCCGCATCCTCGTTCAGATGCATCCACAACAGAACGTTGGCCACCATCTGACCGCTTGAGAACTAGCTGAGAAATTATAAATTATTGTAGAAATAAAGTTTGACAAAACACTCAATTGGGAAAAAGTTATTAAAATGTTAGGGAAAAATGAATGTCATAACTACATTTGAAAATGAGCCTCATATGTTTAGGGCCTATTTATAAGAGTGTATTCTACTTGCAGGTTAAGTTACCTTTTTAACTGCAGCTATTTGCGAGTTCTCTATATAATAGTACAACACGATTTAATTAATGTGCTAGGCCACAGTGGAGACCGGTCAGCTGCCATCAAGCAAGAGTTCTTCTGCAGGCCCTCAACCACAGGTCCCCACGAATGATTCTGCACAGCAGGTGACCCAGCCATCTGAAATTGAGCAAGGATTCCTTCCTAAAGGCTGGGAAGTCCGGCATGCACCAAATGGGAGGCCTTTCTTTATTGACCACAACAGCAAAACCACTACCTGGGTAACTCTTCAGTTTAAATTATAACAACAATAATAATCTCTTCTGTGTAGTTCTTTGTAATCTTTAGTATAACCTATGTTTCCTGGTATTCATTAAAAGATATGTTGAATTCTTAATATTATTTAAACTCAGAATATGCTTATGTCTCTTTTTAATATTGTTTAGGGACCAGGTATGGTAGCTCATACCTGTAATCCTAGCACTCTGGGAGGCCAAAGTGGAAGGATTGCTTGAACCCAGGGAGGTTGAGACCAGCCTGGGCAATAGAAACACTTCATCTCTAAAAATAAATAAATAAATAAAAATTATCTAGGTATGGTGCTGTACGCCTATAGTCCCAGCTACTCAGGAGGCTAAGGCAGGAAGATTGCTTGAGCCCAGGAGTTTGAGGTTGCAGTAAGCTATGATGACACCACTGCACTCCAGCCAGGGCAGTAGAGCAAGACTCTGCCTCAAAAAATATATATATGTATAGCTTTGGATTGTTTTGAAGATACTCATGTTTACTTCCTACTTCCAGCTTTTAGCTCACCAGCCATAAATGCACAGGAAGTTATGGAGTAATAATCCTTTACCTTTGTATGAGGCTTCATAGTTCCAAAGTGCTTTTGAATCCATATCTCATTTAATATCAAAAAACTCTTATAAGACTAAGAAGAACAAGTATTTTTATTTTAAGATAAGGCATAAAGTTGTTTAATGGTTGGTTTACCACTAATAGAAAAATTATTCAAAATTAGCAGCAGATAGATTTTAATTAACTATTAAAAAGACTAATATAGTATAAGTGAAACTAAAATTATTTAATAAATTATTTAATGAAATATTAAAATAATAATATATATAAATGAAACCAAATAAATTGAGTTTTGTTCTCTTTTTTAACAATCTGAATTGCGTTTAATAAGCTTTTGGGGCGTACCTTCCTATCTTTCAAAAGTGTTAATAAATCAACACTTGGCAAGGTTCATAACTGTAATACTAGCACTTTGGGAGGCCAAGGTGGGAGGGTGGCTTGAGGCCAGGAGTTTGACACCACCCTGAGCAACACAGCAAGACCCCAACTCTACAAAAAATAGAAAAATTAGCAAGGCGTGATGGTGTGTGCCTGTAGTCCCAGCTACTTGGGAGGCTGAGGCAAAAGGATTGCTTGAGCCCAGGAGTTTGAGGTTGCTGTGAGCTATGATCATCATGTCACTGCCTTCATGCCCGGTCAACAAAGCAAAACCCTGCCTCCCAAAAAGTAAAATATAAAAAAAAAAAATCAACACTTGAACATATAGGTACCAAAAAGCATGTTCGGAGGCTTAGAAATAACCTGTAGTCCAATTTAATGTTCCATTCTTTCACCAGTTTATATGTAGAGAAAAGCCCCATGTAGTAACACAATTCCTTAAGAGTGGGGCAAAATACCCTGAATGGTTTCTGTGAAAAGGATGATCAATTAGTAGTGAATCCTCTCTGAGAACTGATTATTATTCCTTTTAATATTATAGCCTGAGAGTGATAGATTTCAGAAGGAGAAATTATGTCACAGATTAAAGAAATAAAGCATAAATGGACTTTTACAAGAGAATATTTTAAATATCCATGGGTATTAGAAAACATGGTAACAGATTGACTTTCATTACTTTAAACTTTATTGTGTGTGCCTTGTCTTTTTATTTATTCTACCAAAAAAGGAAGATCCAAGATTGAAAATTCCAGCTCATCTGAGAGGAAAGACATCACTTGATTCTTCCACTGATCTGGGGCCTTTACCTGTAAGTGTACAGAACTACTCCCAATCTAACTGGGCTATCGCAAACATTTTGTATTTTGGGATATAGTTCTTTAACAACTATAATTAATGTTATTATAAAAAGTGTTGATGCCTTCTACTACAAATGAAATACACAAATTAACCCTATAACCATGCTGTTTTTCTATCCATATATCAAAAATCCTGTCCTAAAATAATTGATATACATTCTTAATTATAGCCAGGATGGGAAGAGAGAACTCACACAGATGGAAGAATCTTCTACATAAATCACAGTATGTGCAGTGTGATTTTTCATTATACCGTTTTTTGTAATACTGAATTTTTAATTCTGCAATACTGAATTTTGTGCATAAGAACATTTTTTTTTCTTCTTCCCTTCAGATATAAAAAGAACACAGTGGGAAGATCCTCGGTTGCAGAATGTGGCAATAACTGGACCAGTAAGTCTCTGTGTGTCAGTGTGCTGGGATGAGATTGTCCTCTCACCTGTCCCTTCAGGGGACCCTTCACCTGGTCCCCTCTCACCTGTCCCTTCAGGAGCAAATGGTCAAGGGCATAACCCTTCAGGCACTGAGAGGAGAGAGAGCACATTTGCCGTTCTCTCCTCTCCCCACCACCTCTACTCCAGTCCGGTTATTTGAAAAGATTCTATAAAGTCATTAATTATCCTTGCCCTACATAATAGCATTGAAAAACTAGTGAATTCAGACACTCAAAGTGCTAAGGAAGTGAGCTGCTGAGCTCAGCTGGTACTTGCCATTGTCTGAAAGAGAATGTTGACAGTCCTCAGCAGGTCAGAGAGGAGCCCACTGGTGTATCAGGATGAGGAAGCATCAGCGCCCTTTCAAATCCAGGGTCATGTCCTAAACTTTTGGGTAGAAATCGTTGTGTTAATAAATGCCCAGTATATAAGACACGCTGCATTTAAGTATAAACATTACCATGTATGACGATTATACTACTCTTGAGTCTGATTAATGATCGAATTATTATCCTCTTTTATAATATATAGCTACTTTTCCCATTTTTATTCAGATTTCAGTTGTTTCTAACTCACAAAAATAAGGAAAATTGTAGAGGTTTCTTTTAGATTACTCTTCAGTAGCTTGATGTGTGTAGTCTTTTAAAATAATGGATAAAAAAGGCAACTTTCCTCAGAGTTCAAGGAAAAAGTACACTGTTCAAATTGTTCCTTCAATGGAGAAATCACTTTGAAAGTCTTGTTAGAAATGGAAATTTTTGTTTCTAATATTTCTTTACTTGGAAGAAATTTCCTATTTCTGGCATATTGCATTTTAAGAACACTGCATGATGAAAATTACAGCCATAGAAATTGCTGAATACAATTTTATCTTAAACCAAGAAATTAAACATTTTAAGGTTTTGTATTTGTTTTTCTTGTAATTAAACTTCTCTGTCCAAATATTCTCTTTTAATACCCTTAACTTATGTTCATAAAATACCCCAAGGGGAACTTTTAAAATTGTTCCAGGCAAAAGGCAACCTAAACTGTCTTTATTTTTCCAAAATTTTCAACTAAAGGCAGTGCCCTACTCCAGGGATTACAAGAGAAAGTATGAGTTCTTCCGAAGAAAGTTGAAGAAGCAGGTTAGTGATATTTATAATACGTACTTAGGAATGATCATTATATAGGCTGAAAGTAATGGTAAATGCATTTGAAAAAGTAATAGAAAATTCTATATTTGTAACTACTTTGAGTGAATAATTTCTCATAGAGAAAGGATACTTATTTTTTTTGAGTAGCTGTTATATCTCATTAGAGACCATCATTATTTTATGTCTTTGTTTTTCAAAATATTTCATAATATAGAAAAATAGTATTAAAAGGTTGCTTTAACGAGTTCTTACCTGCCGTTTTCTTGTGGGGTTTTGGGGGCTTGGTCTTCATAGAAACTGAGCAAGAGTAGCTTGGGAGATTATCTTCTGGCCTAGTCTTGGATTATATTGGAGGACTCTCTGGATTCCTTTACTATAATATTAATACTTTGACTTGTCTTCCAGTGATAGTCATTCTTTACAGCTTCAGATATATCTCTGCATAATTAAAAAATACAACTGTGAGCTCAACAGTGGTCTTGTTACTTGTGTCCTTACGCTTATCAGTTATGTTCACTACGCTTTTTTCCATCACTGCAATTTCAGTGTTTGAAACTAAACTCATCATCTATCCATTTCATTTCTGTTGGTATCAACAATTTTTAATGCCTTTCTAATTTGGTCATCCTTTCCCCCTTTCCCTGCAGTTTAGGGATACTACCACAAGGTGGCTATATTGGGTTACACTTTCCTACACTGTAAGCCAGAAGCTTGCTTTTCCAAAGATTCAAAATGGTGTGTCTGCTACCACAGATTTTTCATCCAAAATTTTTAACAAAAATGAAATATGATAGTTCAGTGTAAATATTTTATGTCCTAATAAAGTCCTTAAATACTAGCAACCTTTTAAATTTATTTTAAAGAATTTAAGATTACCCGGAATTTGTTTTCTACTTCTAGCTTTGGGATTTTAAATCTTTTGTTTATTTATTGTTCTGGTAGAGGTTTTCATTCTTAAAGAAAATATGTTGGTGGAATAGAAGCACTAGCTTCTCCATTTGCCAGTCTGAATGCTTGAAACACATTACAATATCTAATTGTTAATGTCTTCCAGGCAGCAGGAGATAGGAGACAGGCTTTTGGTAACAGACCACAGAATACAAAAACTGTAATGAAAGCAATAATATTTATCGATTTCTCACTATATACCAGGCATTATTCTTATCAGTTTACATGTGTTATTCATTTAATCTCTGCAATAACTTTGTACAGAAGGGACTGTTATCACAGTTTACAGATGAGGAAACTGAGGCACAGATAGAGTAGGTAATATGATCGAGTCCCATGGTTATTCAGTGGAAAAGCCAAGTGGTCTAGTTCCAGAGTCCATGCTCTTCACAAACATGACATATCATATTGATGATTAAGAGAGAAACTTTGTACAGAAGTTACCCAGAATGCAACAAAGGTGTATAAAAGGGATAAACATATAAAAGAAAGGTTAAGAGACACTTAGTCATTCCAGGAGAGAATCAAGATCATGAAGAGGAGGCTGAGAATCTGAATCCTCAGATTAACAAAAAGTCTCAAGCAGGATTGCAAAAATAAAATCTATATCTAGACACATGATAGCAAAAAAAAAAGCAGGGCACCAAGACAGAGATAAAAATCAAAGCTTGAAGGCCTTGAGCTATTTTTTTTTTCTTTTAGAGACAGGGTCTCACTCTGTCACCCGGGCTAAAGTGCAGTGGTGCCAAATACTGTGTAAGCACTTTTTTTCCCCCAGAGCCTCACTCTGTCACCCTGGGTAGAGTGCCGTGGCGTCATCATAGCTCACAGAAACCTCAAACTCCTGGGCTCAAATAATCCTCTTGCCTGAGCCTCCTGAGTAACTGGGCCTACAGGCACATGCTACAACACCCAGCTAATTTTTCTATTTTTAGTAGAGATGGGGTCTTGCTCTTCTTCAGGCTGGTCTTGAACTCCTGAGCTCAAGCAATCCTCCCACCTCAGCCTCCCAGGATTACAGGTGTCAGCCACCGTGCCTGGCCCTGTGTAAGCGCTTAAAATGGATTCTCGCATTAAGTCTTGAAACTACTCCATGAGGATAGATGTTATCATCCCTGTTTTATAGATGAGGAAATTCAGCCTTAGAAAACAAACGCGTGTAACTTGCCCAAAGTCTCACACTTAGTGACAGGTGGAGTCTAGGACTTGCACACAGGCCTGATTCCAGAATCCATGCTCTTGTCTGCTACTCAGTTCAGACTCTAAGCCTTCTCCTGTAGCCTTGTCTTCTTCCATTACCATTGCTCCTTCACAGCTACGTTTGTCTTCTCTCACATGTCCTCTCTACCCCTATTTCAGGGGTCTTTCACTGACCAGTGTGCCTCTTGTCCCTCCTCCTTAAAACCACCTTCTACCCCCTATCCCATCAGCTTCTAAAAACCCACCAATCTGATCATGTGGCTCCCCTGCTCAGAAACTCTCTACCCAGTCAGCCATTCACCACTTGTCCCTTCTCTGGCCCCAGACTACTTTCCCACCTTCTTCTTTCACTGTAATCCCTGCTTTTCTTTCCCTTCTTCTCCTCCCTCTAATACCCTCTAGCTATTAAATCTCCCAGGCCCCTCAAACCGGCCGTTCCTCAGTCCTTCCCGCCCTTCCTCTCCAAGTTTCCTCAATGGCCTCTTCACAGTTACCAGCTCAATCTTTTATGCCCTAATAGAACATTGTTTGTATCTCTATTACCATGTTTCCCCGAAAATAAGACCTACCCGTAAAATAAGCCCTAGCAGAATTTCTAAGCATTTGCACAATAGAAGCCCCACCTGGAAAATAAGCCCTAGTGATGGGCGTGGCTACGCAGCTATCTGCACAGCCCATGCATTTCGTCATGGAGTGAAAAAGAAGACGAGCAGCCCTTCTCGTCTGCCCCAGGAGAGCTCTATTGCTCAACATGAGAGATTGGGGCCAATGGTTCTAAAGGAAACAGAGTCGCAAGAAATTCAGGATGCAATTCGGGGTTTGGAGAGTTATGATGATGTTCCAGAAGAAGACGAATTAACTATATTTGAATAAATGTAGATTGTTGTACTGTACTTAAAAAAAAAATAACACATCCCCTGAAAATAAGCCCTAGGGTGTCTTCGTGAGGAAAAATAAATATAAGACCCTGTCTTATTTTGGGGGAAACCATGATATTAGCAATCATCCTGCTCTTTTAAGTCTCAGTTTCTCACATACACACCAGATTATAAATTCTTCGAGGAAGCAACCACACCTTATTCCATGTTTTAATTCCCTACTTTCCCCCATCCCTGGGTAATGCCTACCCAGCAGGGGGCCTGGCCCAGAGTCGGTGTCTGATAAATGCTTACCTGCACTGGCTGCCTCGTCTCCAGTCTAAAACTGCTTTTCTCTAAGCTTACCGTTTTTTAATGGCATAAGCAGCAGAGGAAACTGCTTATATTATGCTTACATTGCTTATATAAGCTGCTTACATTATTATGTTTCTATAGAGCTTTCCATTTTCCCTAAATATATTGAGAGTGAAATTGATTTTGTTTTTTTCTTAGAACTAATAACCTCCTTTTCTTTTTTTTGAAGTGATACAGCGTTGTTTTCTTGTACTGGTTTCCACTTGAAAATTGCACATAAACACTCAGGAATAAAATACTGAGATACATTTTTGTAAAAATTCACAGTAAGATCTGCCTAAGGCATAGTTATCTATATCTGCCGCATACACGAAGAACGTACACAAGATTAGTGGGGCAATGCAGCTCACTAATTAAAAGCAGAGACTCGGGAGCAAAGGCTTTCTTAACTTCTGCCTTCTTCGTTTCTTTGTCTGTAAAAAGACAATAATAGTAGCTTTCATACAGTGTTGTTATGGAGTTAAATGAGTTAACTCACCATTCCAGGGGAACGGTGCCTGGCACAGTCTGTGAATGTTAGCATCTATTAGTGAGTGAAGCAGGACAGACTCCAAGGAGGAATGGGGGAAGTAGGGAGAACCCTGAGCGGTCAGGCAAACAACATGTGGCAGGCAGTGGCTAGACTGGATCACAGAATGGTGTTCATTGGAACTTAATACAGAAAGGGCTTTTAATGGCATGCCTCCATGTGGGCATTAGCATCACTATCAATAGCTTCTTCAGATCTGAAAACCAGAAATGTGTATTATTAAGTGATGAGAGAAAATGCATGAACTCTTTCATATCATAGAGGAAAATTAAGACAATATACCTAGTTGTGTGAGCATATTCCTTAAAGAAAAAGGGACTCCGCAGGCAGGCGTGCAGTGAGTGGTATATAGCTTTTATGAGACATAAACTTGTCATTCTGTTGAATTTGATTCAAACCAGTTCTTCTCTGGGTTTTCAGAATGACATTCCAAACAAACTTGAAATGAAACTTCGCCGTGCCACTGTTCTCGAGGACTCTTACCGGAGAATCATGGGCGTCAAGAAAGCCGACTTCCTAAAGGCTCGACTGTGGATTGAGTTCGATGGTGAAAAGGGATTAGATTATGGAGGAGTCGCCAGAGAATGGTTCTTCCTGATCTCGAAGGAAATGTTTAACCCTTATTATGGGTTGTTCGAATATTCTGCTACGTAAGTACCTTTATGATGACTGTATACAGAAAAAGGAAGAAAAATCACTGCTTTAAAAATAAGCATTGTATGTTATGCCAGAAAAAAGAGATTATAACTGATGTTTGAGAAATGACTTTATACATGACATAAAATTAACCATCTTAACCATTTTCAGTATTCAGTTTAGTGGCATTAAGTACATTCACACTTTGTGCCACCGTCACCATCATCCATCTCTAGGACTTTGTCATCCTCCCAAAATGAAACTCTGTGCCCAGTAAACACTAACTCCCCACTCCCTGGCGACACCATTCCACAGTCTGTCTCTAGGAATTTGACTACTCTAGGTACCTGATGTAAGTGGAATCATTCAATATTTGTCCTTTTGTGACTAGCTGATTTTACCTTGACACATGGTGTTTTCAGGGTTCATCCATGCTGTAGAATGTGTCAGAATCTCCTTCCTTTTTAAGGCTGAATAATATTACATTATTTGTATATATTACATTTTGTTTATTCATTCATCCATTGATGGCCATTTGGATAACTTCCATCTTTTGATAGAAATTGCTATTTTTAAAATCATTAACTCTAATGGTTAAATGTGGTTTTCAGAGAGATAAACAACTCTAAAAAGAGGGAGAAAATTTATAATTATTTACTATATTAAAACTTTTCAAGAGGAACATTTCAATGTGGTTGTCTTCACAGGGATAATTATACCCTGCAGATAAATCCAAACTCTGGACTGTGTAATGAAGATCACCTCTCTTACTTCAAGTTTATTGGTCGGGTAGCTGGAATGGCAGTTTATCATGGCAAACTGTTGGATGGTTCGTATTAACTATAAAACTTTTTTTAAATGTAATTATGTGTTTTCTTTCACTTGGTAATCATTTTATATTTGAATTTTTGCAAGGTTTTTTCATCCGCCCATTTTACAAGATGATGCTACAAAAGCCAATAACACTTCATGATATGGAATCAGTGGTATGTCTTTTTCACTTATACTTAATATAAAAGAAGTATAAGGCCGGGCGCTGTGGCTCACGCCTGTAATCCTAGCTCTTGGGAGGCCGAGGCGGGCGGATTGCTCAAGGTCAGGAGTTCAAAACCAGCCTGAGCAAGAGCGAGACCCCGTCTCTACTATAAAAAAACAGAAAGGAATTAATTGGCCAACTGATATATATATATATAAAAAAAAAATTAGCCGGGCATAGTGGCGCATGCCTGTAGTCCCAGCTACTCGGGAGGCTGAGGCAGAAGGATCACTCGAGCCCAGGAGTTTGAGGTTGCTGTGAGCTAGGCTGACGCCACGGCACTCACTCTAGCCTGGACAACAAAGTGAGACTCTGTCTCAAAAAAAAAAAAAAAAAAAAAAGAAGTATAATTTAATGAGCAACTTGAACATTTTGAGGAATGAACTTTTAATGATATAGAAATTAATAAATTATGTTTCAAAATACAAATGAAGTTTTCCCCCCAACATTATGAAAATTTTCTAATATATAATAAAGTTGAAAGAATTTCATGGTAGATGTTTGCATATCCACCACCCATAATTGGCTTTTTTTTCTATATTCACATTATCACCTATCCCTCAATCCATCTTAGTCTTTTCTTGCATTCAAAGTAAGTTGCACATATCAGTAAACTTCCTGCTAAATACTTCAACATGCCATACGACAGTTAATGTATCTTTTGCATCAGTATTTGAATTACGATCATATGTGATGGTGTATATTTTTAAATGGCAGTCCAAAGGCAAGAGCTTGTGGTTAGGCCCCTACAAAGAAACAGAAGCCCAAGGATGAAATCCCTGACTATAGCCTTTTTGTTTGCTGCCAGTGCTGCTGAGTAGCCTCATACAATATGTGTACACATGGATTCCAAGACTTCTCCTTAGTACCAAGTACATTTTTTTTTCTTCTCTTTTTTTTTTTTTTCTTTAGGTACATTTCAGAAGTGAACCAAGTACATTTTTTATTCTTGTTGTACATTATAAGTGCAAACAGTATGATGTTTTAATAAATCATAAGATTGCAGTTATTTTAGTTAGTTAATTGAGTTGCTACATTTAACCAGAAATTTTTCTTTAACTTGGGCCAGGCATAAACAACGACCTCCTCAGAGCTACTTAAACATTTCACCCACAGTCTCATAGGCATATAAGAAAGGTGCCAGAATGTTCCTGGATATCCATGGAAGTTAGGATTTATCTGAATACTGCTTTATGTAACCCTCTAACTGGGTTATAAAACCTATCCCTCCTCTGCTCTCACATAGGGATAGATTTCTGGACCTTTAAGCAGGCAACACTGTATTGAATGATGCATTTTTATTCTTGCACTTACCTCACATCTCTTTTTGTAATACATGCATGTGTGTCCAGAAAGGATGTCCAACTGACCTTTTCATTTTTCACCCAATTATTCAGACCCTCAGAATACCTTTTTTTTTTGCAAGTTCAGGTGTCTTTCTTGTATATACAAATTTTAAATATGCAATTTTTCTATCTAGGATAGTGAATATTACAATTCCCTAAGATGGATTCTTGAAAATGATCCAACAGAATTGGACCTCAGGTTTGTCATAGATGAAGAACTTTTTGGACAGGTTTGTGAAATTTGATCGATTTAAATGGTATATAAGTTGTAAAACAAATGTTGTAACTTAAGATTAGATGTTAATGCATATATTCAACACATTTCTATGCTCCTTAATTTCCAGCAACAAAAGCTATTTCTCAGCAAGAATGTATACTTTCTTTGACATTTGACTCATTCCATATTTATTTTAATAAAACTAATATTTTAAGTTTTCTTAGCTTTTACCTTTTGACTGTATTTAATTTAAAACACCAGGTTTTTGGTATAACCGTATGTATACTTTTAACATTTTTCCCACTAAAATAACATATCAAGGGGTTGTGTTTAATTTTAGACACATCAACATGAGTTGAAAAATGGTGGATCAGAAATAGTTGTCACCAACAAGAACAAAAAGGAATATATTTAGTAAGTATCTTATTAGTTAATATTTTACTGGAAATAATGTTGTATTTTATTCCACAAAGACTCTTCCTACCTTCTTTCTCTTTCCCCTTGGCCAGAATCTCAATGTTCTTTTCCATAACAATGCAGTGTAGCACACTCACATTCAGCTTTTGCCTTGGGTTTAGCTAGTCATTATGTTTTGTTTCTAACTGGAATAAACATGTCTTAAAATTTTTTCTCGGTTCATGTGAAAAAGAATGAAATGTTTTGTTTCTTTTTAGTCTTGTAATACAATGGCGATTTGTAAACCGGATCCAGAAGCAAATGGCTGCTTTTAAAGAGGTATTCATTTTCTCTTGTTTGCTCTTCTCTAATTTCAGGGTACATCCATCCGTAAGTTGCAAATATAGGGCCTCATCACATCTGAGACAAATGAGTATACGGCTTGCTACATAAAACCATTCTAAATTATATTTTATGTTAACAAGATGAATATTTTAGATGCTCACTGTTAAAATTCATTCAGCCCTCCATCCCCCACACTTTTACCAATCCCACTCCCTCACCGTAAGTAATCTCAGGGAGAGCAAAGGCACGAGAGTGCTGTAGGGATAGTGTAATACCTTGTTTATTGGGATCCCATCATACATGTTGTTTTGTGACTTGCTTTCTTCCCTTATCAAATATTTATTGGAGATATTTACATGTCAAAATATATAGCTATCTTTGTTGCTGTATGTTATTCATAATATAAATTCATAAGTTATTTAAGCCTCCCCAATTGGTGGACATACAGGCTATTATCAGAGCTTTCATTTCTTAAGCTAACTTAAGTATGTATCACATGCTTTTATTTATTCAATATCAAGCACTGTGTGTCTGGTGGCTGTGCTAGGCAAAAAAGACATAGGTCCTGCTGTCCAGGAACATAGGATTTTAAAAGTGAAATACATAGGTGAGCACAGAAGAGAGGTTTGGAATAGGCAGGGGAAGGGACGAGGAAGGTCTGGAGGAATTAGCCAACCCTAGAGCAAGGGGCAATGCAATTCTAAGCAGAGGGAACAGCGTGTGTGAAGTCTGGCCATAAGATAGGCTATGCACACATAAGAGAAGAGGCGAGTGGTTCAGTGTGCTGGATAAGAGGACGTAAGAGGGGAAAAATAAGCCTGAAGAGCTGAGCAGACCAGATTTTAAAGGGCTTGTTTGTTAAGCAGTGGAGTTGGGAGTTTTTTCATGTGCAGGGAAGGCAGGTGGCATTAAATGCCATTAAACATAGCTGGGCAAGGTGGCTCGTGCCTGTAGTCCCAGCAGCTCAGGAGGCTGAGGCAGGAGGATCGCTTGAGCCCAGGAATTACACTCCAGCCTGGGTAAAAGAGCAAAGCTCCATCTCTCAAAGAAGTAAAAAATTTTAAAAGGCTCTGGAACAATAAAATGGCAAGATTCAATTTATGTTTTAGATCGTTCTGGAAGTGGTTTGTAGAGTGGGTTAGAGGAGGGCAAAAGTAACAGCAGAGAGTGCCCAGCAGAGCTGGGAAAGTGCCACAGTGATCCTAGTGGGAAATGGTGAGGACAGCAATGAGGTGGTGGTGGGAAGAGAGTTGTGTGTGCATCTGAATGGTGTTCAGGGAGGGAGCCTTAAAGGACAGAGATCTGGGGTGGCAGTTATGGATTTGGGCATCATCTGCCCACATGGAGGGAAGCTACAGACTTAAGATGGAAAACGGGAAAGAGCAGTGGCAGTAGATTGCCCCACACGTGGAGACTTGGGACCACCAGCATCTCAAATTTTGTTTTGAATGGATGATTTTATATGAATGGAGAGTTGAATGGATGGTAAAAGGGAGACTTCACAGGAAATTAAAGGCAGATACAGGTATGAAGAGTAGACAGTTTCAAGAACAAAGATGTTTTCAACAATATCATACTGCAAAGAAGTCAAATAAAATAAGAGATTGTGTTTATTAGATATAGCTGCAAAGCTGTCTTTGACCTTTTCCAGAATAGTTTCAGGGAAGCAGTGGGCTGGGGGATAAGATAGGAGATGAACAGGTGGGTCAGGGAGTGTACAACACTGTCTATGAAGAGAAAAGGAAGAGAGGCATTTGCTTTTTTGTCTTATTTTTAAGGTAGATATGGCTTGAACACACTTAAATGCGTAAAGAGTGAGCCAGTAGAGAGAGAGAAGTCTAGTGAGAGGCGCTCCTGAGGAAGCAGGTGAAGCATTGCGGGAGGGCTGGCCAGGAAGAGGAGGAGGGATGCAGAAGCTTGAGGGAGTTCCATCCCACATAATTGCCTATTTTATCTCTCAAATGGAACTTAACTACCCTGAAGAAGGGCTTGAAAACTATGAGGAAGTTTTGAAGCAGCCACTTTGAGGAAAATAAGTGAGAACACACTGTGGACACAAACATTTTCTTGCCCGTATTGAGATCTCAGTTAACAGCCCATGATTGTCGGGTGGTAGGAATTCACGTGGATGTGGGGATTCTCCGGCTGCACTCAGGAGCTGAAGTACGGGAACGTCCGCTGACCCTGCTAACCAGGTGTTTAAATACATTGTTTTCTTCTAGGGATTTTTTGAGCTGATACCACAGGATCTCATCAAAATTTTTGATGAAAATGAACTAGAGGTAAGAAATATTATCTGCATGTTACAAGAGGAATTTTGTACCTGGTATTTTTTCTTGCTCACAGTTTGACGTTTCTTACGCTGCAGCTTCTTATGTGTGGATTGGGAGATGTGGATGTGAACGACTGGAGAGAACACACAAAGTATAAAAACGGCTACAGTGTCAATCATCAAGTCATACAGTGGTTTTGGAAGGTGACTTAGAACTTACACTTTCATAACTTACTTTTTGGTAGATTCGATCATATTTAAGTCCGTTCTCGATTAACTGTGCCCGTGGATTAGATATACATAATACAGAAAAATAGAGTCCAGCAAAAATTATCTTTGATTTTATAATATACATATATATACACCCCTTCTGGGTATGGTCCCAACCTCTATAATATTTATAAATAGGTAAGCAAAGTGTTCTATAGTAAATGGTAATGACAGGCTGAGATAGGCACCTAGTTTTCTACTGAAGTGTAGGCACTCTAAGAGAATTGCAGTAACCTGCAGTGTACTCTTAGGGACTCCTGCATGGCTCCTTGAAGTTTTCTCATAGGTAAATATGCGTCCCATTCAATACTAACAATAAATACAATTTTTAAAAAGCCATGCAGCACATGAGAAATTTTGTTACTTCATTAGGTTATAATCCCATTCTAAAGAATTGTCATGTAGCCTTATAAATAAAGTGTTCAGGAACTTTATAAACCACCCAGAAATGTAAATTTAAATAAAAGAAACATTTAATAAATGTAAATTTAATAAGTACTTATTAATGCTCTAACTAAATTCTGGTAACATATTTTTCAGGGTAATTGTTTTACCTTTTTCTCCAGTGGTATTCCCTAAATGATGTTTTTATCTTATTCAGGCTGTTTTAATGATGGATTCAGAAAAAAGAATAAGATTACTTCAGTTTGTCACGGGCACATCCCGTGTACCTATGAATGGATTTGCTGAACTATATGGTAAGGATTTTCCATAGATCATTAAAGAAATGGAGTAAGCTAGTCTCACTCTGTCGCCCCAGCTAGAGTACAGTGGCATCACCATAGCTCACAGCAACCTTAAACTCCTGGGCTCAAGTGACCCTCCTACCTCAGGCTCCTGGGCACAGACTTAGGCACACGCCACTGTACCTGGCTAATTTTTCTATTTTTGGTAGAGATGGGGTCTCACTCTTGCTCAGGCTGGTCTCGAACTCTTGACCCCAAGTGATCCTCCCACTTCTGCCTCTCAGAGCACTAGGATTACAGGTGTGAGCCACTGCACCCAGCCTAAGCTTCTATCATTTATATGAACATTTAGCTTATTTTAAAAAGAATTAAGCTTTTTAAATGATACAATCAGACACACTGAAGTGTAGGCCAAAATATACTAACACCTTCTAATCAGATAATGAAAGAGAAAACTGGAAACATCAAAGGGCTTAGTTATTTTCTGTTTTTGAACTTTAAATTCTATTCCCACTATGGTTCCATTACAGAAAAACCATTACCTCTAGTGTGATAGTCAAGGGAAGCATTTAAAGTTCCACAGAAGGTTAGTAAGTATGCAACAAAAAGCAAAGATTGTCATAGTAGAATACCTTTGGGGAAATGCTGGAGCAAACAAAGTTAAATAGATTTCTTCAAGACTTGTTCAGAACCTTTACTGTAAAATTTAAAAAAAAAAAACACCTTTTTTTTCAAAACTTCTTTGATCATGAAATATTTTTTTTTCTTTTGTGGTGGGAGTTAAAGGGTAGAGAAACTCATTATGCTGCTATTTCTCATTGATTTCTCAGGACTAGGAATATGACTGCATATATCTTTTTTTCAGAATAGTTAATATTAATGCAGTTTTCTATAAAGTGAAATTCTGTACACCCTATCAAATTTTTCCATTGATTGACACATTACAGGTATATTTTATTAAAAAGTGCTGTTTTTGATGTAGATAATAGCAGCTTTTCTCACTGATTCATATTCTATTTATTAGAATGATATTTACTTTTAAAAATAGCAGGAATACATCTTTTAGAAAAGGTGTAGCTGAAGTTAGAGCCCTAGTTAGAACAACAAATAAGAATTGTTCTGGGAACCGGAAGTCAGGAATTGCTGCTGCCTAGGAAATCGCTAAGCCGAATTTTTCATGCAATTAGAAGCAGTTACCATGTGATGGGATTGCCAACCCCCTCTCTCTTTGACAAACCTGGTCTCCTTGTTCAGCTTCATGTGTGCGTGTGTTTGCAGAACCGGTCAAACAGCTGCCACGTCTCACAGTGGTTAGCTTTACTACTAACCAGCTTGCTCATTCCTTGCCTAATTGGACTTCTTAGGCTTTGTCCTTTTAGTGGTTTCACCTGACTCCTTTCTTCTCTTCTCTTTACTTTAGCCAGTAGTAGAAAAAAAAACTAGATAGGATAAGCAAATGCCATTTCTAGCTCCTCTTCCCTCTTTTATGCAACTCAGGTCTATAGCCATCTGCTGATTTCAAGCACTATTTGGAATTTTGGAATTTCCTGCACACAGAGCCAAAGTTGTTTGTGTTAGAATGTACATTCAAATTCTTATGTATTTACAGAAGTTGCCACAAAATGTTAATATTACAATGTAATATTGTATAGCCAATAAAAAGTATGTTAAACTTATGTTATTTGAGTTTTCACAATGGATTATTTAGGTAAGAGAATCAAGAGACAGAAATATATATGATTCCATGTTATGGAAAACAATGACAAAAGAACTAAAATTTTAACTGAAAATAATTGTGACAGGTGATATGTGAAAAGTTAGGCTTTATTTCTGGCAAATACACATACACACTTGCATATGATTATAAGACGTGAGGAAAAGTATAGAAAGTTACAGATTGGGTTGTCAAAACTGATTACCTGGTGGTGGGGGATGTTGAGGGTTGGAGAAGGAAGAACTAAGCAAAAACTCTGAGGAACGAGACAATTTCTAAAAATGTCTGTAATAAAAGAAAAATTGTTGACTGTGTAACATGATCACATGCACATAAAATTCTCTCTGTATTTATGCATGTGCACAAAAAGATTCATGACAGGACATATACCCAGAGTTAATGGTAGGGTTTGAGGTGATTTTTTTTATATATATCCTTCATTGTATTTTACTCTATTGCATTAAGTTTTTACAGTGAGATCATTTGTACAGTCAGAAAAAATTAAAGCCATCTACAGTAGTACTCAAAAAGGAAAGAAAGTGCTCACTTTGGCAGCACATATACTAAAATTGGAACGGTACAGAGATTAGCATGACCACTGCACATGGATGACACGCACATTCATGAAGTGCTCCATGTTTTGCAGAAAGAGAGAAAATGCTCATTTTTTTCTGCATACCCATGAAGGAAATTGTACATACAAATGAAACTGTGTACAGACAGGGCCAGGAAACAGCAAGGCAGAGTGATATGGTGGTCACAAATGACCTGACAAGGAATCCTCATTTCCCAGCTGAACAATGAAGCCATCAATCATAGGACAGTCTTCATTAGGTTAAAAAAAAAAAAAAAAACAGTTCCCTGTATATGTAAGTTCTACACTAGAAAAAGTGGGTTTTGAAATGCCTACAGACTCCTGTATAAAGTAAATGAAACCAAAGAAACTCTTTTTCCTTATAGGCTCAAACGGACCACAGTCATTTACGGTTGAACAGTGGGGTACCCCTGAAAAGCTGCCAAGAGCTCATACCTGGTAAGCAGTTGCTTAGACCTTAACTGAACAGTCCTCAGGAAGCAAAGTTCCTCTGTTAGTCTAGCTATAGCAAGTCGAGCCCCTGCTGTGCTGTGCCAGTGGCAGCTGTGGAGAAGGAGTCAGTGACACTAACCCAGGGACAGGTGTTTCTTTAACCAAGTCAGTCTGGACTTGAAGTCCAGATAGCTGAAGATCAGAGAGGCCCATCTAAACTGTTGACTGTATGTTGCCTCTATCTCAAGAGGGACTAGAACTTTCCATTTGGGAGGCTGAGGTGGCAGAGCAACCCAGACATCTGGAGATGGAAGGGAGGGCAGGAGAACTTCTATCCCAAGAGGGACTAGAACTTTCCATTTGGGAGGCTGAGGTGGCAGAGCAACCCAGACATTTGGAGATGGAAGGGAGGGCAGGAGAACTTCACCAGGGAGTCATGGGAGAGAGTCCATGCCTAGAGGCTAATCCCATGTCTTCCTTCCACCCCTGGTGAGAACACGTCTTTCTGTGTAGTTGGAACGTATGAGTAGCAGCACTGCTGTGTTCGCTGGAGCGATACTTTGTCAGTGTCTTTCATAACCAGTTCCTCTCTGTTCCTTCAGCTTTAATCGCTTGGACTTGCCACCCTATGAGTCATTTGAAGAATTATGGGACAGGCTTCAGATGGCAATTGAAAACACTCAGGGTTTTGATGGAGTTGATTAAACCGCAAGTAACAATCTATGGTGTTTCTACTGCCGCAGTTTCATAAGCAAAATCTTGGCTTAAAATTTTCCACGGAACTGCTAAACCTTGGCCACTGATTCTTCCCAGATATCGGAGGACATCGTATGAAAGCATTGGAAGAGAGATAGTATGACAATTTGACCGTGATCTCAATCACTTTTTTAAAATCACGTCACCAGTGTGGCATTTACACAGTTGTTTCGTTATATCTTTGGAGTTCACGCTATAGGATGCAAGTCCTGTGTGCCTGAAATAGTGAGTTTTATCCTTGACATTTACCTCTTGTATAGTATTTGCCAGGTGGTTCTTTCTTAAACTACTGAAGTTATAACTGTGAAATGTGTGTGATAAATGTCATGTGTGAAAAGTTTGATGCTTTTTGAGAAGGAAAACTGAAATTTGGGGGTAAAAATACTTCGATGTTGAGTAACCTACAATATATTTAGTGCTACTTGCAGCTATTTATTATTTTGTAGACCTGCCTAATGCACCTTACTGCCCAGATTTTTAGATGAACCTTGGAAAGTGTGTTACCTATATTTTTAGTTAACTGACTCACTTGCAAAAAGATTGTTTTCTTTTTCACTTTAAAAGTATTTGCCTTTTGCTAATATGCAGTTTTACCAAACATGTGGTTCATAAGACGTGTGAAGCAAATTCATATTTGCAATGGGTGAAAAGTATGAAAGCCTTTCTCTTCAAACATTCAACGAAAGCTCCACAAAGCAGTATTTTTAAATATGCCTTGAAGAACTGAGTTAAATGTATAGTACTTGCCTTTACTAGTCATTCTTTATACTTGTACAATTATGTAGTAAATATGTTTACAGGGTTTATTATGTTTACAGTTTAAGCTAATTTCTGTAGTTGCATTTTTATATTTTTAGTATTACTTTAGTAAAAGAAAAACCAAATAATTTGTTTAAAATAACCAAAGAGTAGTTATAATGCATAGTTTGTATTGAATTGCCATATTTCTTATGCTTTTAAAAAATACTGTTTACCATGAAAATGTTTTATTACAAACCCAAAACTCTCTAGGCAAAATGCTACAGGTATAATCCTACTTTAACCAAATTGAAGTGTATAAAGACCATGGTTGCATGCATTCAACAAACATTTATTGAATGCCTGCTATAATGCATAGCACTGTGCTAGGCCCTGGCGTAAGAGTTGTCAGCTTCAAAGAACTCTAGCTCAGTCCTTATCCTTAAGAAACTTACAAATGTATAAATGAATTTGTAAACAATCAAAAGTAGGGGTAAGCAGAATAAGGCAAAAAGGAAAACGTTCTACGGTGCAGTATACCTGCAAAGATAAAGTTTGCCAAGACTATATGTTTCATACCTATGTTGGAATGATTATATAGCAAATGCTCTTACAAAAAAGTAAACCAGGCCGGGCGCTGTGGCTCACGCCTGTAATCCTAGCACTCTGGGAGGCCGAGTCGGGCGGATTGCTCAAGGTCAGGAGTTCGAAACCAGCCTGAGCAAGAGCGAGACCCCGTCTCTACTATAAATAGAAAGAAATTAATTGGCCAACTAATATATATAGAAAAAAAAATTAGCCGGGCATGGTGGCGCATGCCTGTAGTCCCAGCTACTCGGGAGGCTGAGGCAGAACGATTGCTTGAACCCAGGAGTTTGAGGTTGCTGTGAGCTAGGCTGACGCCACGGCACTCACCCTAGCCGGCAACAAAGCGAGACTCTGTCCAAAAAAAAAAAAAAAAGTAAACCTGTTTCTCAATATGGTATCTTGGTATTTAGAAATAATTGTAAATATATATTATGAATCTTCTTAAATACATACATACATATATATATGTATGTGTGTGTATATATATATACACATACACACACTCTATGAGAATTGTAAAAAGTACTCTGGTTCTTGGTTTGAGTTTGTTGGGGCATAACGTGAATGAGTACCTGTCAGCACCTGGTAGACATCTCAAATGTGAGAGTAGCAAAACCACTTTCTTAAACACCACATCATCAGCTCAGTTTAGGGAAAGCAATGCCCAGATCAAGGCACGCTGCATTTTGTCTTCACGAGTGTCAACCAGCATTCAGCCGTGAGCACCAGGTGTAGTCCTGGTTCTGTCACTTACCACCTGTGTGAACTGAAGCAACTCACCTAGCCTCTTTGGACTCATGTTTCTTCATGTGTCAAATGAGAATAATCCTGCCCACCCTCATTGTCGTATCAGAAATTGGAAAGTGCTTGGAAAAGCATTATACAATCAGAAGAGGCTTAGTGCCAGCCATCACATTTTGTCAAATCAGGTGTACAAACTGACTCTACTCCCAAAGAAGAATCTATTTAAGAATAAAGTGACTTCTCATAGACAAGGAAGTGGGAATTTATCCTGATGTTAAATAAAGATATATATATATATATACACACACATCTGCTTTTCTATATATGGATCTTACCATCAGAATTCATTTTCTCCACATAAGCAAAGTAATGTTAATATGGGCCATTGCATTTTGGAAATGTCCTCATTATGTAGAATTGAATGTGAAAACTGTTTTTGTTAAAACAAGGTTTTACCACATGATTGTTTAAACATCACTTCTGTGAAATATCATGGCAGACATGGGAGCTTGAGAAAACATGAAGCTTTCATTTCATCTGACTGATACTCAGTTGAATGATCCTGTGACTCAGATAAACCATGGTGTCAGTGAAACCAGACTCACTCCCGCCAGCCCCAGCCACAGACCTTCATCCCCTTGGTCTCCCAGGTGTGGGCTGACAGTCCAGAAGAAACCTGTATCAAGAAACACAGCCCCTCATCCTAAATAGAAAAGTATCCCAAATGTATTCTGCTGGAGAATCAGCAGGCATATTTTCATAAAGCAAGGACATCATACTTTTCTGGAAATTATAAGCACATAATTTAAGCCTATATTTTTTCTAATTAAAAAATTTTAACAGACAATTGTATTACAGATGCACTTCATCATAAGTCAAATTTAAATGGTATTTGTTTTTTAGTTTTCTATTTATAATGTTGAAGTTATTCCATATAAATATCAAGTTAAACATAATTCTTCTGATTATAAACTATTTGACATTATTTTTTAAGATCTTCTGATATGGTAAATATATTATCAAGATTGATGTATCGAAATTTATTGCATAAAGTATAAAATGATTTTTTTAAAACCTTAATTCCACAAATAAAGTTCTATTCTAATTTAAAAAGCAAAACTGTGGTTCATTTTTAAACAGAAATGTTTCCAGACCAGTGTGCCGGGTGATATCTTCTTACCTATTCCTTTGCAGCAACACATGAAATTCTCAAGACAATCTTTATTTCTTTTGGTTTTTAGTAGAGACAGGGTCTGTGTTGCCCAGGCTGGTCTTGAACTCCTAGCCTCAAGCAGTCCTTCAGCCTCAGCCTCCCAAAGTGCTGGGATTACCGGCATGAGCCAGCACGCCCAGCTCTCAAGACAATCTTGAACTTACGTCTTATAAACTCTTAACCACAGATAATCAATCTCCACTTTACACAGAGTTCATGTTATAAAAGTCTAGTTGTTAGTGAAATATCCAGAAGACAACAAAATAAAGTTACAAAGGGACTGGATTTCAGACACACTTCTGCTCATGAAAGGGTCCAGCCTTGTAGCCAACCACTATTTAGTGCCAACCATCTGAGTGTTAATTGTTTCTGGGGAGTTCTGAGTATTAATTCAGAACTAAATATTTTATCTTTTCCTCCTCCTTGGGCACTGAGAAGTTGCCCAGTTAGAAGAGAATCCACTCTGTGCCTCTCAAGCCAGCCCAGGAAGCTGCTGTTCCAGCCCGGTGTTTCTGCTGCAGTGTAGACCATAGCTATTACTCGTTGGAGCTCAGGCCACTGCCCTCTGTGTCCACCTTTCCCATCCTAACCTGCTCTGGCAGTAGCCAGCCCACACCGTGCCTCACCTGTACAGGACGTTCCTGCCTTGCTGTTCACCAGGGCAGACATTTGTAAGTGATATTAAACTAAGGTGTTAGACTCTCAGGATCTCTCTGTGAAAAAAGGACCTCAGTGGATTCCTGTGCATTTTCCTAGAAAGTTAAAGACTATCCCTGTACTAGCCTCCTGCTTCTGTTCTCCGAGCCTCTTCCCCTGCAATCCATCCTATGCAGTCCCTTCAGCACAACTGCTGTTTCCTTTTTATTAATAGTATACAGAGGCCGGGCGCGGTGGCTCACGCCTGTAATCCTAGCACTGTAATCCTAGCACTCTGGGAGGCTGAGGTGGGCAGATTGCTCAAGGTCAGGAGTTCGAAACCAGCCTGAGCAAGAGCGAGACCCTGTCTCTACTATAAATAGAAAGAAATTAATTGGCCAACTAATATATATATATAAAAAAAAAATTAGCCGGGCATGGTGGCGCATGCCTGTAGTCCCAGCTACTCGGGAGGCTGAGGCAGAACGATTGCTTGAACCCAGGAGTTTGAGGTTGCTGTGAGCTAGGCTGACGCCATGGCACTCACTCTAAAGGCTCAAAAAAAAAAAAAAAAAATAGTATACAGATTTGACTAGGTCTCTACTGCAAAAAAAACCAAAAACCTCTGGGAGCTCCCCAGAGCATGAAGCCCAAACCCATTAGCATGGAATGCAATCTGTCTCAGTTGCTCCTTCCTTCGTATCTCACTCAGGCCCCCTCCAGCCCCTAATCACCACAAACTCCTCTGCACCTGCTCTACCTGCACAGCTTCACCCCTCATTTCTACTTGATAAATCACTCTTTTTTTGGACGCAGTGGAAAGGCACTGTGGCCTCAGCATTGGCCTCAGTATATATGAGCACGGGTGACATTGCATTGCAATTCTTTGTTTACATAATTCTATCCTACACATTTCTGGGCAGTTTGAGGACAAAGGCTACTTTGTATACATCTTCATGCGTTCATTTCCCAACACAAATCTTTAATGAATGTGACCTTGATCTGATAAATACTGTTTGTGTGTCGAATCCATTCAGCGCACAGGTACGGGGCACCTACAACGTGCCCGGAACCATGCAGTGATGCACAGGAAGCTCTATATTTCAGCAGACTTTGGGGACCATATAAATATTCCTGTGCAGAGGAGCTTGATTGAGACCCTGCTGGGTGTTGGGTTCTGCAGTAAACACTTTATGTGGATCCCATTTAATCTTCATAAAAACTCACCGAGGCAGGTTTTATAGGCTCAAGGACTAGTAATACACCTGAGGCCACACAGCTTGTAAACTCAGCGGATTTACGAACCACAACGAAAAAGAAAAGCGATGGAATCCAACAAGCAAATGACCCAGGTGTGTTAGTTTTCTTTTGCTACACAACAGAGTGCCACAAGCTTAGCAGCTAAAAACAATACCCACTTACGACCTCAGGCTTCTGTAGGTCAGGGTCCATTTGGGCTCAGCTGGGTTCTCTGCTCGGGGTCTCACATGGCCTAAATCAAGATGTCTGTGCTCTTAGCGCCTCCCAAGATCCTAAAGGCTGTTGGCGGAATCCAGTTCCTAGTAGGTGTGGGTCTGAAGTCCTTGTCTTCTTGCCAAATGGCAACTGGGGGCACCCGCCTTCTAGACATCACCCCCATTCCTCAGCACTTGGCACTCTCCATCGTCCCGCCAAAAAGGCTTCTCATGCTCCAGACCTCCTCTCTCATGTCCCCTTCTGCCACCAGGTGGAGAAAATTCTCTGCTTGTCAAGGCTTTCTTGAACAGATTAGGCCCACCTGGATACTCTCCCTTTTTGAAGGTCGATTGTGCCACAGGCATAACGCAGTCGTGGGAGTGAGATTTTTATCACATTCACAAATTGCAGGATTGGGGGACGAGAGATCTTTCCTAGAACATTCTGCCTCTACACAAGGTGAAGGACAGAAACGTAAGATGGTGGAGATTCAGCCTGAAAAACACTTAACTATATCTGATTTTATGATGTGCGCTTCGCTTTGCCATTCTTTGCTCACGAGATACCAGATAAAGTAATGCTAACATCAGCTGGCAGAATCCAATGTCAGCAGCCGTAAATTCCCGAGTCATTACTCTCAGGTGAGCCATTGGTTTGCATTTTGCTCAATAGCATCAAGGTTGAATTGGCCTGAAATTAGATTCAACTCATCCTTGTCAGCTTTCTTGTTACATAAGGAGAAAGAAAAAGCCATAGCTGCTGCTTTTATTTGTTTGGAAGGTTGGTTTTCTTTCCAGTAAAAACCATAATCAGGATGGGGGGGGGGCAACCAAAACAGAGCTATGAAGGGAGAAAGCAGTTCACAGCTGCAGATCATAGGCGTGTTGAGGCTGCTCTAAGTCTCCAGAAAGAAGGGCAGAGGGTTCGAAATGCCCTGGAGTGACTGCAAGTCCCTGTGTAGTCACACGACTCTGGAGCAGACTTTTTCTCCTTATGAAGTTAACCCGAGATTAAAGCCATAGCTGCGGGTTCATGAGCAACACTCAATTCATTATTTGGG